AGAGAAAAGGAAATCCGCCGTCCTTGAACAGTGTGTGTAGAGGGATAGCACACTTCCTTTCCTGTTGAATCTGATATGATTATTTTTGTATGATACCAGTATATTTATTTTAGTTTTGCATAAATGTACTAAATTCACACCACTAAAAAAAAATAAACCTTATGAATATATTCAATAACTCCAGAAGAAAAAAGACAAAATAAATAGAAATAAGTAAAAATATGTCCTACATCTAGACATTTAGTAGATCTGTGGGAAACTAGACAAATTCTCCTCTCCTTCTTATTCTGACAGCTGTTTGTGTTAACAGTAAGACAAGTGTGATCTCCCTAATGGGGACTCCACAAAAAATCCCATTGGAGGTTTTAAAGTTGAAATTTTAAAGTAATTCTAAAAGTAAAATTTTCTTAAAAATAATCATGTTATATTTACCTGCTCTGTGCAGTGGTTTTGCACAGAGCAGCCCTGATCCTCTTCTTCTCATTCCCCCTGCCGGCACTCTTGGCTCCTCCTCGCGGCAAGTGCCCCCATAGTAAGCCTCTTGCTATGGGGGCCTCACATATGCTCGCTTCTGAGCCGACTGTGTGTCCAGAAGACTCCCAGAGCACGAATCGGCCAATGGCTCCCACTGCTGTGTCTGAACCAATGAGGGGGAGCATTTATCTGTGGAGGGAGCTGAAAGTTTGAGTTGCCAAACTTCAGCCACCAAATCTTAATGACTTGGAGAGGATCTGCCAAGAGGAGTGGGCCAAAATCCCTCCTGAGATGTGTGCAAACCTGGTGGCCAACTACAGAAAACGTCTGACCTCTGTGATTGCCAACAAGGGATTTGCCACCAAGTACTAAGTCATGTCTTCTGAGGAGGGATCAAATACTTATTTCCCTCATGAACATGCAAATCAGTGCATCATTTGTTAGACATGCATTTCTTTTGAATTTTTTGTTGCTATTCTGTCTCTCAGTGCTACAATACACCTACCATTCGATTTTTAGACTGATCATTTCTTTGTGAGTGGAAACATTCAATATCAGTAGGGGATCAAATACTTATTTCCTTCACTGTGTGTGTAGGAGTGGCCATTCCTAGGCAGACTAATAAAATCCACTGAATGGTAGGGGTGGGCTAGGAACAATCAGGCTTTAGAGGAAAAGGCTAGAGATGCTGGATATCCTCAAGCTAGAAAATAAGGCAGCTTCCAGGGTACACTGTGAGAAGCGCACCGTGAAACCAGAGTAAGCCATTTTAGTACAGAAGCAGAGTCTGTAGAACTGTGCAAGACTTGAAGATCAGGCTGGGGTTCAGCTTAGAACCAGCAAACACAAATGTTCCTGTGCTTGGGGATGGACTCGATGCAGGCTACAACCACATTAAGAATGTCCTGGAACATGCACACCTTGCTGCCCTCAAATGGACCGGGGGAATCCAAATATACTGAATGAGGAAAGAACAAACAGAGGGCGCAACAGGCCTAGTGCATTACCATAAAAAATGTTTAATAGGAAATAAAGTAGGTGTTGTGCTCACAAATGACAAAGTCAAGGCACATCATAAAAAGAACAGCTGGGTCAACACCGCGCTGAGTAACAGTCCGCAATAGGAGTGTAGACATGTTTTGAGGACTTGCCTCTTCCTCAGAGCCTCAGGTGGCTCTGAGGAAGAGGCAAGTCCTCGAAACTCCTATTGGATGTCTACACTCCCTATTGCGGACTGTTACTCTCTGTTCTTTCCTCATGGGGTCCAGCTTAGCTGTAGCTATCCCTATTCATGATGAAACCTGCAATTTGGCCTGCCCCAGGAATGTTGCAATATAGAAAGGAGTCTGTGCAATGTTTGAAAACATTTCCCAATCCACAAGGCACTAACACACTTTCTTTTTTTCTAACCACTTCACTTACATCTTCATGAAGGAAGCACATCCTGGCCCGAAGCTAGAAATTTGAGCAATGCTAAATGTTGCGTAGCTCTAACAGGATGCGGTTCCCTTTTTTCGCGATCAGCGAGGAGGAAAAGTACTTGCAGCAGTTCTGCCCTTCCTTTGCCCTATAATTTCCTGTTTATTACACGAAGATTATTGTCATTGTGGTAGCTGCTTCACAGACAGGAAGATTCTATCTATACAAGCATTCTACAGTGCCAGAGATACCGTGCTTGCATACATGCTATGATGTCTCTGTACTGCACAGATAACGGTGGGGGGTATAAGCGCAGTTCACCAAGCCATAACACAGGTGTCATTTTCAACTCCTTCTGGGTGCCATTGTCAAAAGAAGTTATGGATCAGCAGCTGTCAGGCTTCAGATTGTTAGCAGTGGCACGATACTTCTATTCTTGCAGCTTGCTTTCAAAGTGGACCTGCTATTAAAGAATATATAAAAACAATATATTATTCCTAATATGTGCCTGCTGTGCCATGTAATTGTATGAAAAATTATCCTTCGTTTTGTGTGAAATCCCCGGTGTTCCAACCAGTCCCTCTGCTTTCCTATTAAAAACTGACCACACTAGGCAGGCAAGCACAGCGTGGTCTGTTTTCTGGTTGTGCTGGGAGCTAATCCATTGATCAGGCTTGTGCTGGTACACTGTCCCCTGCACAGCCATTCACTGGGAAGACCAGTGTTCTGCTGTTTCTTCTCCCCTAGCTCCTTATGCAGTTGAGAACAGGTGGTACGTGATCACTTTATTTTTTTCCTTTTTAATGTATACATTTTTTGCCTTTCATTTCTCTTTCAAACTGAATGGGTTGTTATACAAGGTGGGGGTTTCTGTTCTGCGAGGAAATATGTAGGCAACCAGTGCTAGGCTCTGATTGTTAAAAAGCTAATTACTTGGCTACAAATTTCTCAGCACAGATTTTCTTTAAAAATATAACTAAAGGCAACTTTTTTTTAGTTTTGGATAGGGTAGAAAGAGATTAGAACATCTGTCAGGTTTTTATTGTTGCCTTTGTCCTCCGCTAGGGAGATTCACGCTCTCTACGTGTCCTATTTTACAGTCCTGTTATAGTGAGAGAATATTGGCCAATTTTTGGGTTGCCACAAGAAAAGGAATATAGGGGAAATCTTCCAATGGGGGCACTAGTTTTGGTGACAACCATGGATTTCCTCTCACTTCCTATTTTTTTGTTTATAGTACAGAAGGTGAAGAAAAATATCCTAAATGTGAAACAGATGGCAAAAAAAAAAACCTGACGGGCCACAACCCTGCCTTACTTGACCCATAATGAAAAAAAAATTGCCATTTAGTTCTACTATAAACAAACTTGTCTTTTATAGAGACTGTTGACCTCTGCTTTTGAAAATGCTAGTTGCCTGGCTGTCATGATGATGATTCTCTACCTTCAGTACATTTAGTTGGTGCTCTGGAACAAGGACTGCTGAAATATTAAAATATTTATAAACCAATTTTTAAAGAGACTTTCAATGTAAAAGTGAATTTAGTAAAAAAAAAAAAAAAAAACAAAAAAAAAAAAAAACACCTTGTCTGTTTTCCATATTTTGCAGCACGTACAACCATTCCACATATCATGGCCTAAATGCCAACCTGGTAGGCCGGACCAGTGTTAATAGATTTTAGGGAATCTTGTGAGATTCTAATCGGATTCTGGTGTGATCAGTGCCATTTATGCTCACCTGCTGCTCAGGAAATGTGATTTCCTTAGTATTTTGCAGCATACCATCTGTGAAGCTATGGAGGTTACATGGCAGGGAAAACATGGTCTTCCAACTGTCATATCTGTACAGTATGGCATATCCAAGCAAATGGACAATCCTGTATGAATATACATCCTATGGAAAGGATTTTATCATTGTCTGCGTAAGTAGTGCAAAGCCTTGTTTTTATGAAAGTAAAAGCTTTTTGTTGAGGGGGAGAAAAAAAATCCTTTCTTTGAACATTTGCAGAAACTGCTGGCAGCAATGGGTGTATATTTTTGTAGATGTGACCTTTTTTAGACTTCGGTCACACCACATCTGAATTTGAAATTGTGCAATTTCGTTTAAAATCGCACGATTTCAAAGTTGGATGTCAGTGCAATTTCAGGGGCGACTTGAAGACATCTGTGCGACTTCATGCACACACGTCTATGCAAGTTGCTCCTGAAAGTAGTACTTTTCAAAATCAGAATCGCACCAATATGCTTGCTTCAGTGGCGGACAATAGGGTGTGACTTGTCATGTGATTTGAAACCATCAAATTGCATGAAAAGTCGTACTGGTGTCCCCAGGGACCTAGGTTGTATTGTAACATGGAATCAAAAACCCTACATTTACCGGTCTTGGTAAATATTATTATTATTATTATACAGGATTTATATAGCGCCAACAGTTTGCGCAGCGCTTTACAATATAAGGGAGAACGTACAATTACAATACATTTCAGTACAGAAGGAATGTGTACCATCTATCAACATATGGAATGCTAATCATTCGATAGGTCTCATGACCCAGAAAGCTGGAAGGCAGAATTGGAAGACTTCCTTCTATTTTCTGGTACTATGCTGAACCAAGTCTGAGCAGAGGATTCCTCCCAACAGTGTGTTATAATGGAACTGTAAATGGATCGCATATCTAGAGGTCAGGCAATCTTGAAGTCTGTAATGGGCCATGATTTTTATATCTATCACCACCAACCTATGGATGGGATTCGCTAACCCAGCTGGTGAATTACCAGCAGGATGACCGCTATATCTCCAGATCATTTTGTAGTGTATACATTGCAAGGGCTTTTGCAAACTTTCAGATTCTTGCTTGCTTACATCTTCTTCTCCCTGTTGGATTAATAATGTATTTGTTCTCATGAAGCATGCAGATGGCGGTGCTGGGCAGAAACACACAGAGCTGTTAAGAGAATCATAAGGAATTTTGGTAGGGAGATCTCGAGTTGTCCAAGAGTTGCAAGATCCTTACCACTGTAGTTCCATGGCTTGCATATTAATAGATTATCTGTTTACAAACTGCAGCAGTGTACAAAGTCAAATTGATGGCTGTCTGTTTCCATATAGGGGGAAGTCCAAGCACTTTTTCTCAGGCATGAAGGCTACCTTGGTGCAATTGGGGCATTTCTGAAAGGAGCTGAGCAAGACAGTGAGTATAGACAAAAAAACTTTAGGAATGTCAGGGGTTTTATTTCAAGAGAACCAGCAGGAATGGGCCTTTTGGAAGGCCCATCAGAATCTCCACCTTTTTAATTTTGTTATGACGGATTCTCATGTCTCAGAGATGGGTGCGTAAAATAATTTTAGGTGTATTCTTTCACTGTCCGAACACAACATCACCTGAGTGTTGTGTGGTCTCCGTGGAAGCTGATCTGTCTCGATCCTTCGGTCAAAGTAGATATTCTGCTAGGATGCTGGAGGGGTGTAAAACTGTCAAAGTCTTTTGAGTATGTTGTAACTAATCCTAATAGCACCTTGTTAACTGACTTTTCGATTGAGTGATTTATCAACCCTATAGTCCGGCAAGAGCTGGGATGTCCCCCTATAAAGCAAGGCTACTCTTATAACCCCCCACTAGTAGAGATTCAAATCATTACAAAATAACCATTGGTGACTGGTTACCTTTTAAAGACTCAGTCCACCCAACAGATAAATCTGCCTCTTGGGGAGTTGTGTAGAGGTTTGTACACCAGGAATTATAAGAAGGCCCTTCTCCACCCTGGATTATCACATATATTTAGATTATGGAAAATGCAACTGGAGTAGTGAATAAACCTGGTAAACCTCAACCAACAAAACTCCACCAACTGAAATAATACATTTAGGTGGAGTGGTGCGCAGAAGGAAAGTAATAATCTTTATTTATTTATTTTTATATATATTTGATTTAAATGATTTTTTAAGTGTATTTATTATCTTAAAAAATCTTGTACAGCTCATAAATGAGGAAATGGTTGTGCTATATTGTTCCTTCTCGCAATGCAAGTAAAAGGTTATCTGAACCATTGGATACTATGCACTTCCTTTTGTGGCTGATATCATATTTTAGTATGCACGTGTGGAGGCTACATATCTCTACACTTAAAACATTAACAAAATGTAGAAAAGCAAGCTTGTATAAACTGTGGTAATGCAATGTACTGTCTGTGCCTAATGAAAGACCAATGTACGTTCCTACTGTAAAGAGCAGTGATTTCTAGTGCACAATATAAGCCAATGAAGAATCCTCATTTAGCCTAGAGTAGGCAGAGTATTTCAAGCCTATTGCTGATTAGATTTATGGCTTACTACACTCCATTTTATAATGCTGTTATCACTTGTATACATTTTGTCTGTAATTTTAAAGTGAATGTCTAAGGTCCAAAATAAAATTGGAAAAAAAAAACTAAAGAAAAAAACAGCGTATGCAGTACATGTTTACAATACATGCACATTTACCTGTTTTTGTTCCTTTTGCAGTTCATGCAAGAATAAAAAAAAAAAAACCTGTTGGTCTACCAGAAATGGACTCAACTCAAAAGACTGGTGGGCTGATGCGCACAGTGTTTTGTGGACTAGGTGGTGTCAGCCCTGCCCAGTTGTCTTTTGCTATACTACTCTAACCCTCCCCTGTCATATTCTTCACACCATAGACTTATTGCTGTAAGATCCAAGAATTGGGAGGGTGAATTACACTCCTTAATGGTATATTTTTAAAGGACAATTTCATCTTTGGACAAAAAAATAATAAATGCACATTGTTTTAGCAGGTAAAAAAATGTGCATGTGTTATTTTTTGGTTGCGGGAGCCTGTAAAGCACCAGGGATTGGCAGATTGCTGGTGCCATGCAGATCTCTTGCAGACCTATCAGTATATCTGCTTTCCTGTACTGGATGTACGGCCAAGCAGATATATTGACAGGAAGAATCCATGAACTACCACGGTGCTCTACAGCGCTGTGATAGTTCATTGAGAACTACAAGCTGACAGCTGTAAAGGCTGTTGGGACTTGTAGTTCATTCACGGAACTCTGAATGATGTGGCTGTGTGGGGGTGGAGCCTGGCACAACTGCGCTATTTTTAAGAAGTGACAGCTTGTACGGATAACGTCTTCCCATACTATTGTAACTGGGAGGAGGGGATCGGGCTGCAGCATTGCGAACATGTTACATATTCCACCCTAAACATGGGTGGAACATGTTCCCAAAGGTGAACTTCTCCTTTAACAGACCTTAGGGTGGCAAATAAAAAAAGTACTTGTTTTTACATACACTTTAATGTATAGCCTTCTTGATGTTGAAGTGTTTACTAGTGAGCAAGGCAAATGGCAAACCTTCTTTTCATTGTATACATCTAGATCCTAATATGTACAGCTGGGGAGAAAACTATGCTGGTAGCTCTGGGCTTATGAGCACGTCACCAGATGTCTACCCCATGCAACGATCCCGGAGTGGAACGGTAAGTCTTGTTAATGACCGCATTACACAGGCCTGGATCAATTCACAGGTTTATTCACTCAAGAACCAACCTACCTTCTGCTCTGTATGAGGTTTGGGCAGAGTTCCTGTCCATTTTAATGAAGATCACTTTTTCCTGTAGATCATACAGGTTGTTCTCCGTGGGGTAAATATTGAATATTTTTTTTTTTTTTTGTTGGTCTTGCTGATCTTTAATTTTTTTTCTGAATATGGTGTGTGTATTTTTGGTTTGGGTTTTATTTTAACTCCAAAATATGTTTGTGGGGAGGTTAATTCATACTGGGAGCCAGAGCTCCCTAATTTAGAATGTGTGTACATTGGAAAACACAAGTATATTGTAGAGCATATACATTTATCTGCTTAATTAAAACCCAAATGCTTCAGCTCAAATCCCTGCCTGCTGGTTACACCTCTCGCCCCTCAGGCATGTTTCACCCACATTGGGCTTAATTGATTAAGCCCATGTAAGTTGGGTGTGACCAGTGGGCAGGGATTTGAGCTGAAGCTGGTCTTTCATTTACTTCACACCGGAGCGTAATACAGTGTGCGGCGGTATGCAAAGCTCATTCTGATATTGCTATTTTCCTGGCTGCAATACTGACCCCAACAAACCTTAAACCCAGGGGCGGACTGACCATTTGGAAACTCGGGCACTACCCGAGGGCCCGGGGTCAGTAGGGGGCCCCATGAGAAGCCCCTGGTACCTATTTCATAGGCTGTTTTGAATTTGGGCAAGGACACAGGGGCCCCATGATCCCCTATTGCCCGGGGGCCCCATGAGTTGTCAGTCCGCCCCTGCTTAAACCAGTATACAGATAGAAAAACTTCAAACTTTTTCCTCTGACATTCCTTCCAAATCATTGAGAGAATTAATGCCCAGTTAAACCTTTAGTTCAAATCTAAGCAGAAGGTGTGTAAAGTTTTACTTAAAGTGGCCACAGCCTGTGTAGAAAAGCCTATCTCCTGCCAGCAGCTGCAGAGTGGAACCCTTGCTCTTTGTGGCGAAGCAGTGGTGTCCCTGCAGAGGTTCAACACACCCCTTGCTGGGTCAGTGCCAGAGCTTTCCAGTTAGAAGAAGCATAATCTTTGTTAATCGTTGAGCTTTAAGTCTGAGAAAAATGCAAGAAGTATTCTGAATGGATGCCATGCCTAACAAGCAACTGCTGTGTGTACAATCAAGAAAGACAGCCACTCAGCATGGCATTCTGAAGATCACGGCCATCACTATAATAGCCCGGGCTACTGCAGTGGTTTAAGGCTTCCACAGAGGCCAATCGTGTATCTAATATGCATCCTTACATTGGAACAAGCTGGCCCAAATGTAAATATGCAGAATGCATCACCCTTGCAGTTCAGTGTTAAATATATTAGGACAACATACTAGCCAGGAAACTAGTGTTTTTCTGACAAAGGTCAGCAGTGACAACCCCCATATCTCTTTACAGCTCTTTATTTTGCAAGATACCTATACTGAAAATAATAAGTGGGTTGTCGTTTCTGTCTCCAAAATTATAGAAGCCGGAGGTGGCCAGGCTTCAGGCATTTCCAGAATCTGGTTACTAGTGGTAGCTTTCATCTTTTCCTCAGTGCAAGTTTCTTATAATTTTAGGATATTTTTACAGATTATGCAACTATCTCTGCATTCAGAAAACTTAGCCAGATAATAAGGGAGGGTGAGAAATAAAACTCCGCAGAGATCCATAAGTCACATGTAGTCCCACATGTTACTTTTTCTATCTGTACCTGGAAAGCCGCATTTTGTTTTCTTACTTGTTCATTTCACAGCTTTGATTTCTGCACATTCTTATATTACTTTTTATGTTTTTGTTTTTTTCTTTCCTTTCATCACTCTTAACATCAGTTTTCAGTAAGTAATTTTACATGTCAGTGCTTGTAGAATTGCATTATGTGTCGCTGTTTTATTTGCAGTGAAAGTCAATTGCTGGTGAGGTTGGCAGTCTGTTCTATATTGTACACAGAGCTATTACAAATAGTGGAGGTACTGTAGTGCCAATCTCTGATCTCAGTAGGGAAGAGACACAGCCAACACAGCCAGCCATTTATTAGGAAATTTTAAAGAATTGATCAACTTTGTTCTCTGGCAAATCAATGATTACTTTCTCTGCCCTGCTATTTGTACAAAGTTTGCATTTCTGATGCAAATGGTTTAATATTTTTTGGTTCCTTTTAAATATCACAGTTATTGCTGCAAACGTTATTCCTTATTCCAAGATATGTATTATACGTTGAACATTCAAACCTTAAGCTGAGCTCCGTTCTTCCCTCCAGTCTTGCACAGCTGTACAGGCTTCTCTCTTCTCCTGTACTTCTCCTGTAACAGCTGCAGCAAGTCAGACAGAGCCCCATCTCATTTCCTGTCTGGAAGACATCCAGCATTATCTAACCCTTTTATTCCCAACTATACTGCCCCTGGTCCACCCCTTTCATTCATTGGACTTTAGTTCTTTAAATTATGAAAGTTCAGCAAAAACACGTGTAGTTTACTGTTTTCAGGGAGCTATGTACAGCACACTGCTGGTTCCTCCCACCACCTATGATCTGCCTGCATTGCATAGATGAGCACAAAGACCTAGTAATGATGTCACTGGGCCTAAAATAAGATCTCTAATGAAAACTGGTTTTATTTCAGAACTTCAGGTTAAGACTTAAACAAACATGTTTTACTTACCTGCAGTTTACAGTGGTTTTGCACAATGGTTTTTGGTTGTAAAACCTTCTGCCTTTACAACTACTATAGGCAGATTAAACGTCTCTTTTTTAAATATGGAAATGCCACTGCATCATCAATTGTTTAAAGTGATTATTACATTTTGAAAACTGTAACTTTCACATAACTTTCACTTTGCTAATTGCTAATAATCCATGATCAGGCCATATGGTCAAGCAGTCCCAGTTCAAAGATGCAGAATGGAGGAGGAATCACTGCAAAGGCTGTTGCTGGTAACATGTTATACCCTGGGGAAAAGTTAATCTGCAGAATGCTCAGTAGGCATGACAAGAGGTGGTACTATCCTGTCAATGGGTTTTTTTTTTTTTTGTGCTGTCCAGTCCTCAAACATTTAGGGTCACACTTATCTATGTGTAAATTACATCAAATGTGGTGAGTAAACCAGACCACAGATAAACTACCAGAGTGCATCGCCACTACCCTCACTATGAAGATTTATTGTGTGGTCCTTGCTCAATGGTTGCAAATCTACAGGGCCTTCCCCCACAATCAACCATTAAGGGGATGCCAATCGGCTTTTGGCGTGGCTTGCGGCAAGCATCCGTTGTAGCGAGGTCCAAGCAGCTTCCCACTGACCCAAATAATGGGGAAGAATTCCTCCCGCTGACACCAGCAATGAGATAGAATTCCTCCCATTGACACCCACATTGGAGCAAAATTTCTCCCAGTGACCGCAATAATGGGGTATACTTTCCTCCAATGACATTAGTGATGGGCATCTTGCTAACCACAGACACTGTATTGTGTTGCTCTCACTGACCACCAACCCTGGAGCATGGTTTACTCCCACTGACGCCAGGGCATTTACTAATCTTACTGGCCCATAGTTTGGTCCCCCTAAAGTCTGATGGACAGTAAATGTATGCATCCATGCAAAAGGGGGAAAGTATTTAGAATCTTTGCTAGTTCATTACACTGTTCTAGAACCCACTGTGTTGCTGTCCAAAAATACTTTTCATTTATCAGTGCTCAAAAGCTGACTGATATGTATGGTAACTACTTCAGAAGTAATAGAGTAGTTTTTGTGTTGTAAAATTATTCCTTTATTTCATACTTTAAATTGATAGTCCTCCACCAGACTTTGGTGCTGTCTTAAATGTAGACTCTAATGTGCTCTACAGTTTGACATGTTGGAGATGGACCGGCTCGAGCGACAACTAGTAAACCTCCCTCTGCTCTTTGACCCGTCTTCCTATGTTCCTGATACAGTGGATCTTACAGAAGATGCAATGGCTCGGGAGTATTGGCTCACCTGCTTCGAAGATGCTTTGGAAGGAGTGAGTATTTATCCTTGTGCTGAACACAAAGAAAAGCAGAAACCTGTTTGTAGCTGAGAAGCTAAGATGCATCTTCAGTGAATTTAGTATGTTTGTTTTAACATCAGAACCTAATTTTAATTCTTCTTTTTCAAAAAGCGAACACTAAAGGACTGATTTATAACAGTGGATACTGTGATCTGCACTTCAGGACATCACAGTGATTACTCCACTTTGTGCCTACATTATACATTTTCATTAGTGAAGTGCAGGGTATGGTGTGGAGCCCGTGGTGTTTGGAGTGTTGTCTGCATAATGCTGCAGAATAGGGGAGAATCCAGTGACATGATCTGTCAAACTACATTGGCAGAATTCCTCTGGGCACGTTTTTTCTTCATTCTGTACAATGAAATGAGATTCACTTACTTCAGAGTCTTGAAGCAAACAAAAAAAGCTCATTTATCAATCTCAATGTTCTTTTTGTTTTTTTTAATAAAGCAGTATGGCCATTATGCCACTTTATAAAGTGGCCCCTAATTCTTCACCAGGATTTAACTAACTGTAGATAATTTATATTTGCAGGGCAGTCCCTACTGGACAGTCTCCTTTTCAGTAGCTGTAGTTTGGTGCCATCAAGTGGGGATTTTGTTTATGACATCTACAGTTTTTTTTTTTTGTTTTTTTTTATTATTATTATTATTATTATTTTTACTTCTGTAGATAACAAAACTACTTTACTTTGAAAATGATAGTAGAGCATTGTGTGAAACCTGCTGCATAGACAATTGTAAAGTGCAACATGAAAACAAAAAAATAAAACACATTAAACACATAATGTTCCTTTCCAGGAATACTTTCCACAGGGCACCACTGAGACTTCATGCACACTGCTGCTCATAAACTGACGTTTTTGGGGCTGTTGGCATTTTCTGCTTAAGCCCCTAAATTCACCTTAGAAAAAACCTTAATGTCCGTGCACACATAGGCTTTAAAAGAGTTTAGTAGCAACAGCGGTTAGAGGTAATCAGAGCGCCTTCTGAACGCTGAAGGATCTCATTGAGGTGAGGAACTTATAGCCATCAAAATGCCAAATGTGACTAAACACATCTAAACACTTCCATTTCTTCAGGTTTGATAACAAATAAAGGGTGAAAGTTTAACTTAAAAATGCGTTGGGGATTGGATGGGATTTTAGTATCCAGATATTGAATGGCTTGTGGGGCCCAGCGAAAGGAGAAATTACCAAAAAGATAGTAAGTTATAAAAAATCTAATTGTTATCCTCACAAGAAGTGAGGGGAAATCTTCAACTGTGGACATCTGTTGTGGTGAAAACAATCTAAGAGGGAGAGATTTCCTGTTACGTCTTTTGGTCATAACGTAAAGGTAAATTTCAACATTGGGACAACAGACTGCTCCCTTTTGGGGTTCTGGGCAACTTGTAAAATTGAGGAAGTGTAATTTGTTATATTGCTAAAGCTGATAGATGTATCTACCATGTGTTTAGCCATTTCATCTGGGTGCGGTGTGGCATGACCACGCAATTGTCAGTTAAAGTAACGCAAAAAAAAATGGCCTGGTCAAGAAGGGGGGGGGGGGCAAATCCTCTGGAGGGCAAGTGGTTAAAGTGGTTGTAAACATCAGACCTGAACAAAGGCTATACCTCTATAGGGTAATTGTCTCAGTCCAGAGTGCCGTGTATCATTTCTGTTTGCTGCTTCATTCCTCTGCTATCCACCTGAGTCACTTTTGACAGGTTTTCCTGACAACAAGAGAAAAATGGTAACGGGGAGGGATCTCAAGCTGATTGACAACCTCAGTTCTGTTCCCTCCAATCAGCTGCAGAGCTCTCCTTATTGAGTGGTGAGTAATTTCAGTCCTCCTCCTCCCCCCTCCCTCCCCTCCTCCCTCTTCCTCCCTCTTCTTTTGTAGGAGGATTTGTGTTATCTCTGTTTATCACCTGAGACCAGTCACTTCACTGGGTATATGTATGGGTTTACAACCACTTTAAGCCAGTCATGTAATGTGCGGGGTCATGTTTCCTGATTATGCATCATTATACTCCGAGAGCATGGCGCTGTGGTAATGCCCCCTCAGAGAGCAAGCACACGACTCCCTGCATTTTCAGTTTGTCCTCAGTTTTCCAGGTTGAATGACTGGCATCATACCATCTGGACGAGGACATTTTGTGGCAGAAAAATTAGTACTGTGTGGGGACAGCACCAGAGGGGGGGGGGTGCATATTGGAGCCTGCAGGAAAAAGAAATTAACAGTATGGGGGGGAATTTACTAAACTAGGAGTGTGCAAAATCTGGTGCCGCTGTGCACAGAAACCAATCAGCTTCCAGGTTTTGCTTTCAAAGCCTAATTGTACAAGCAGATGATAGAAGCTGATTGGCTACCATGCACAGCTACACCAGATTCTGCGTGCTCCAGTTTTAGTAAATCTCCCCCAATGTTTGCCATTATCAATTTTCCAGGTTGTAGTGTTGAGTGTATTAAAAGCATTTGGCGTAAGTGTAATTTTTTTTAAAATGCCTGACCAGTGAAAGGAAACCTGCAAATTAACCCCTTTTACACCTTCCTTTATTAATAAGGTTGCTAAACGTGCTGTTGCCAGTCAGCTGGATGCTAAGGATGCAGTGGAGCGGGCAGAAAAGTTCCAGCAGAAGTACTGGAACAAATTACAGACACTCAGGCACCAGCCCTTGTGAGTATGTTGATGTTGGTGCCTCTAGAAGGTATAGATTGATGGACTGTGTGTTCATGTAAAAGATCACAAGAGCTGTATTTGTAATTTTATGGAGCCAAGGTTACATGTTTGAATTTGTATCCTGATCGCTATGGCCTTTTATATTACCCACTGTTTACACACCGGTTCTTTTTTTTTTTTTTTTAATTTTACATTTGCTATGGATAATTGTGATTGTAAAAATGAGTATGTAACATATCCAAAGAAGCCTGAGTACACAACCTGGGCAAAAGCATCTTAGGATCTCATTTATATATGTACTATATCTCAGGTAGGACATATACAGTACATATGGTATATACCGTACATATATACCATATGTACTGTATATGTCCTACCTGAGATACTCATGGGTGGAAAAAAAAAACAGCTAATGTTCTGATCCTTTTAGTCGCTCTCCTCCTCCACCCTGTGATTGGACTAATATCTTGCCAATAAGGAGAGAGATAGACTTCTGTCCTAGTTTCAGGCCAGTTATTCAAAGTTTTAAAGCTATAGGATCCGTATGAATGCCAGGCATTTTCAGAAGGAGAGGAAAGCCTTTCTATTTCTCATGACTGCTTTTCTTTTAATATTATGTGACATTGAGGGCAGATTTAGGTTTTTAAATGAAAGCAATGAATTCTTTTGCCCTGATGAATGTAATTTCATCATGCAGGCATGTGTCCTACTAACATAAATAAGGTGTGAATTCTAATAATGGGACCAGTAGTCTAGCACACTGACAGAACTTTTTTGTTTAGTATAGAACATGTTTTCTTTCAATACTGTGTTCCTTTCTCATAGACCATTTATGCGATCTCTTCCAGTGCTTACGGATCGCTGACAGTCCGCAGTTTACTAGACACTCGGGAGCACTGTTTAAATGAATTCAATTTTCCAGACCCCTACTCAAAGGTGAGCCCCAATTTCTGCATGTATACAGTTCTTGTCAGCCAGATTCCCTGTAAGTAGTGATATAGAGGTAAGTTGCACTCTTATGGATCACAGTAGTATCTGAATGTCTGGCCTATCACTGATATAATGTACTGTATATAAGCCAGTATGCAGCTGGACTGAACCACAGTCACCACTTTAAAGGATAAATTCACCTTTTGTAAAAAAAATTAAAAAAAAAAAAGAAGAAATGAACATCCTTTTGCAGGTAAAAGAAAAAAAAAACAGTCATTTTTTTTTATTTGTAGGGCAGTGCCCTGCGCTGCTGCGTTGTTTTTAAATTGTGACAGCGGGTGCGGGGAGAGGTTCCCTGGCCCACTGTCACAAAGCACGGAGCACTTATGGCTGGAGGTTGCTGCATAGGAGCATGTTGCACACTTAATATATGTGTAATCTGTAACATGCTCTTAAAGGTGAACTTGGCCTTTAATTTGAGGAAGGGAGTAAAAGCATGCAAGCTGGGTATTAGTCCATTCATCTTGTAATTTTGTATTTTAATGGAAACATTCCTCTCTGTGGCTCTAGACATGCATGGACGTTTGCATTTTCATGTCCACTGTAGTGTTACAGTTCATTCTGCTACAAATGTCTTCTCTCAGGACATTCTTGATATGACCCGTTGTATTCTATGAATGAATTTCTTGCAGGGAGCTTTACTTATAGAGGTGGGGTTGTACAGAACACAAAAAGAATACAGAAGCACAGTGAGAGCCCTGCTAAATCGAACTTCAGAGATCGTAGAAAAATAGTAAAACTACAGATGGGGCAAATTGCATAAACTGTTTCGTTTTATCACCTTTTATTTATTTATTTTCTGAATGATATTAACAGGCTGCAAAATGATTTTGCTTGTGGCTTGTTCTTAAGGAACTAAGAGACAGAAACATAATAAGAAAAAAAGTAATAGGTCTTCTAACTGTAGCAGGGACAAAACACTTGTAGCCTTTGGCAGATGCGTAATGTAGCGGCAGATTATTTTTCTGTTTCGAGATTTGTAATCTGTGTATTTGTCTGGAATTGTGCTATTGCACCTGTGTAGTTGCAGAAACCCAGAAGGCCAGTGATGCAGGTGTACAGATGAATGCGTCATTCATGTATCGTATTAACATTTAGTGAGTTGTAGCTACCAGACTTGTGTAACAGGTCTGTATTATACTTCACACCTCCCTGTATAGAGAGCCCAGTGTGCTCATTTAAATATTATTATGTTAGCAACATTTCAGGATCCTGATGCCTGTGAATATGTAATTATGTAATTAGCATTTATTCTCTTGCATGCCACCAGTATTGTCAGTGTATCTGACAGGCTCCTGTGCCTTTAGCGAAATGGCAAAGCTGAGTATATGTAAAAATCACACTTTTATAAATATATTGCAAGGCTTCAAGTCTCAAATTTTTGTCATGACTCTTGCATATATAATTCACTCAATATTATCTTGCTGTCATCTCTAAACATCATAACCTTGAAGCTACACTGTCAGATATATTAAAATGGTCACAAACACTACTGCCCTGCAGGTACAAGGCTTGCGAAGAGCATTTGACTCAGTTAGTACTTTTACTATATGACCGCTACAGGGGCGGACTGACAACTCATGGGGCCCCCGGGCAATAGGGGATCATGGGCCCCTGTGTCCTTGCCCAAACTCAAATAAGCCTATGAAAAAGGTACCAGGGGCATCTCATGGGGCCCCCTACTGACCCCGGGCCTTCGGGCAGTGCCCAAGTTTCCAAATGGTCAGTCCGCCCCTGACCACTACTTTCACGGTTGATGAGGAAAGATTGGACACGCAAAATAGTGCTTGACTCCATTGCGTTTTGCTTGTGGTGCAAGTGTCCATCATTTACGTATATAATATAATATAATATAAATATTTTTTTATATCTAATATAGCTGGTATTTATACAGTATCAAATTCATGATGCTTATTTTGGACAATCACTATCATTCAGTGTTTAGTGCTTTTAATTAAAATGATGCAATATACCATCTGTAGGTAGAATTAACCAAGGTAGAAATGATCTAAAAATATGGTCATTATACCATTGCGTGTTTTTCATGGATTAGATGACAGAAATGAGGTGTTAACATTTGTGGTGTTCTATTGTATATGTTTTGCTTTTAAGGGAGATGCCACTCAATGGATGAATGTGGAGAGGGTTAAAAGGACTGTGGTGTGTAAGCAGCACTCACTGTTCCCCTCTAGATAATATTTCATCCTCTCTATACACTTGTGCTTCTGATGTGAGTGCTGCCAGGGTCATGAGTGCTGGTGGCAATGAGAGAGTGATGATTACATGAAAAAGAACAGACAAGGGCGCACTCTCATCGTGCATTACCGTGGTAAAACACGTATTTATTGAAAAAAGAAGATATATATACTCACAAACCAGCGTGATTAAAAGCAGTATATGTGGTCCACAAACACAGTTACAGTACATCTGTGTCTACTGATGCGTATGAGCTGACGCATTTCGGGAGCTCCAGAAACGCGTCAGCTCATACGCATCATTACACACAGATGTACTGTGACTGTGTTTGTGGACCACATATACTGCTTTTAATCACGCTGGTTTGTGAGTATATACAGTCAGGTCCATAAATATTGGGACATCGACACAATTCTAACATTTTTGGCTCTATACACCACCACAATGGATTTGAAATGAAACGAACAAGATGTGCTTTAACTGCAGACTGTCAGCTTTAATTTGAGGGTATTTACATCCAAATCAGGTGAACGGTGTAGGAATTACAACAGTTTGCATATGTGCCTCCCACTTGTTAAGGGACCAAAAGTAATGGGACAATTGGCTTCTCAGCTGTTCCATGGCCAGGTGTGTGTTATTCCCTCATTATCCCAATTACAATGAGCAGATAAAAGGTCCAGAGTTCATTTCAAGTGTGCTATTTGCATTTGGAATCTGTTGCTGTCAGCTCTCAAGATGAGATCCAAAGAGCTGTCACTATCAGTGAAGCAAGCCATCATTAGCTGAAAAAACAAAACAAACCCATCAGAGAGATAGCAAAAACATTAGACGTGGCCAAAACAACTGTTTGGAACAGTCTTAAAAAGAAGGAATGCACCGGCGAGCTCAGCAACACCAAAAGACCCGGAAGACCACGGAAAACAACTGTGGTGGATGACCGAAGAATTCTTTCCCTGGTGAAGAAAACACCCTTCACAACAGTTGGCCAGATAAAGAACACTCTCCAGGAGGTAGGTGTATCTGTATCAGTCAACAATCAAGAGAAGACTTCACCAGAGTGAATACAGAGGGTTCACCACAAGATGTAAACCATTGGAGAGCCTCAAAAACAGGAAGGCCAGATTAGAGTTTGCCAAACGACATCTAAAAAAAGCCTTCACAGTTCTGGAACAACATCCTATGGACAGATGAGACCAAGATCAACTTGTACCAGAGTGATGGGAAGAGAAGAGTATGGAGAAGGAAAGGAACTGCTCATGATCCTAAGCATACCACCTCATCAGTGAAGCATGGTGGTGGTAGTGTCATGGCGTGGGCATGTATGGCTGCCAATGGAACTGGTTCTCTTGTATTTATTGATGATGTGACTGCTGACAAAAGCAGCAGGATGAATTCTGAAGTGTTTCGGGCAATATATTATCTGTTCATATTCAGCCAAATGCTTCAGAACTCATTGGACGCCGCTTCACAGTGCAGATGGACAATGACCCAAAGCATACTGCAAAAGCAACCAAAGAGTTTTTTAAGGGAAAGAAGTGGAATGTTATGCAATGGCCAAGTCAATCACCTGACCTGAATGCGATTGAGCATGCATTTCACTTGCTGAAGACAAAAACTGAAGGGAAAAAGCCCCAAGAACAAGCAGGAACTGAAGACAGTTGCAGTAGAGGCCTGGCAGAGCAGTTAAAGCACATCTTTTTCATTTCATTTCAAATCCATGGTGGTGGTGTATAGAGCCACAAATGTTAGAATTGTGTCAATGTCCCAATATTTATGGACCTGACTATCTTCTTTTTTCAATAAATACGTGTTTTACCACGGTAATGCACGATGAGAGTGCGCCCTTGTCTGTTCTTTTTCATTAGCGCTCAGATTTCCCGAAGGGCTGCACTTCTTCGGTTGGCATTTTGGCATCTTCTTGGTTGTATGAAGACTGGAGCGCTGGTTACGTTTGTTTATCTTTCGGAGTGATGATTACATATCACATTTCCCTCCTTTCCTCACTTCTAAACTTGTCAAAGTAATAATATAGGGCTTTCTGTTGCTGACTTATCTTTTGAAGGTGCATGCCTCCATCTATATCCCTTATTACTTATAATTCACTGACCTTGAACAAGCATAGGAGTTGTCCTGAAACTTCATTGGTGCCTGCTTGCTCTGTGTCCATGACTTGCTAAGTTGTAAATCTAGAATAAGAATGATCCCTGGAACATGAACTTTAAAAACAGGACTTCAATCCCAAGTCCTGCTCTGAATACTCGTTCTGTGTCAGTGATTCTGTATTGCTACCAAAAAGGTAGCAGGACATTGGCAGCCCATCCCAAGACTGGTTCCGTTTTAAATTTCCCTTTTCATTGCGTAGACATCTCTTCCAGTTTACTCAGTGTGCAATACATGTTTGGTAATTCAGTGAATGTAATTATATGTTAAGCATTCTATATGTGCCATTTTAGTGTACTTTGCTTAGCATCCCCATGTAACTGTTGTTCATATCAGCATGCTGGTAACAGTGACTTGTTGGTCCAATAGAGGCCATCAGCGTAAGAGGAAAGTGTCCGGAGAGTGTCTTGGAACGAGCGATCCAAGCCTGGGTAAGATCATCTTCCTTCTGTAAAATCCAGTCTCTCATGTTTTTCTTCCAGGTAAAGCAGAAAGAGAATGACATAGCGTTAAAATGTTATCAGAAAGTTATCAGAACTTTGGATGCATTGGGCTGGGATGACAAACAGTTTGCTCTGGTGAAAGGACTGTTAGCAGGCAATGTCTTTGACTGGGGAGCAAAAGCAGTCTCTGAGTAGGTGTCCATGTTTTACAACCACCATGTTTTATGTAGCTAATCTCCGCTTTCTAGTCTTGCAGTGCAGTGTCACCCTGAAATATGTAGAAGCCTTCACATGTCAGGATGCTTGCCGCTGTTCTAGTTATTGAACCCCCCCCCCCTTTTTTTTTTTTTTTCTTTCCCTTAGCATTAATCTTAAAATGTACCCGTTCTCTAGTAGTAAGCGTAAATAAGTAAAGAAAGGTAGGGAATGTAGGCAGTGTTCTTGGTTCTTCCAGTAATGAAGGTTTTAGCTTCTTATGTAAATGACATATTAACATGACCCTTTACAGACAACTTTTTGTTGATGAATATTGCCTGGCTTCCCTGCTGATTGCCATACTTCAGTACCAACTCAATAGAATGCAGAACTGATCTTAATACTTATTCCAGGTCATTAGAGGGTTTTGAAGCCAAGAGGTCAGCATCATAGATTAGGTTTGCAAAAATAGAAGGTCAATAACGGGAGGTCTTCATATTTCTCTCAGGAAAAGTTTACTTTACCAACCATGAGGCTTTTTTTCAGGTACCTAGAGGTTCTTGTATGTGTGCTCAAGTACTATAGATCTGCTGATGTGTAGATAGTGACCCCAGGACGTTGTTGTGCTTAGCCATTCCCTGCCTTCCTAATTGTTGGTCCACAGGTATGTTGGGCAGCCTCATTGGTCAGTACAGAGTTGTAGTTTTAACTTCAGTTCAGGAAATCACTATTTAATTATAAGATCTGCAGGCTTTAGGGCTGCTGGAGCTCTGCAACAGGTGTGTGAACTTCAAGATGAATGCTTGCCATCAATAGGGCACTTTTAGCATTTTTAAGGATCACAGAGTCCCTTTTATGGTCTGTGTACCTCCATTACTGCTAAGAGTCTCCTTCTGTTGGTACAAGTCACACTTAACTCTCCCAGTGTGGCCATGGTACAATTACCGATATTCATGAAAGTGGAATAAAAAAGAAAATTATTTTCTATCTGGTTATAGCAGTGGCCTTTTTATTCTGCAGTTCAGCTTTGACAGCCATCTGCCAACCCTCTAGAACAGAGGTCTCCAAGCTGTGGCCTGAGGGTCGAATGTGGCCCTTTGCCTGCCTTATTATCGGCCCTTGGGGAACTATTCCTTTCACTGATACGAGGCACAATTTTTCCCACTGGCACCAAAGATGGAGCACTGTTCCTCCCACTGACACCAACAATGAGGTACTAGTTCTCCTTCTGACACCAATGAAGAGACACTATTCCTCCCACTGATACCAATGATGTATTTTTTTTTTTACTCCCTCTGACCACCAAGCCTATAGCATTGTTTACTCCCACCTATACCAGGGTATTTTCTACTCCCATTGGCCACAATCGGGCCCCCCTGAGGTTTGAAGGGCAATAAACTGGCCCATTGTTGCAAAAGTTTTTAGGGACCCATACTCAGGGCTGTGTTAATGCATGGGCACTGTCCAGGGGCCGCATTATAATCTTCCATGCTTGCCAACTGTCCCGAATTTACCGGGACAGTCATGCTTTTTACTAGGCTTTCCTGGTGTGGCCATGTCTCGGGTAGGGTCCTGGAACCTGTACTGTGTGCTCATGATCCCAGTATTGTGCCCTCCTGAAACCCCCACCCTCCCTCATCCCGTACTGTGCCCTTATGCCTCTCCCCATCCCCCCGTATTGTGCCCTTTGTGTTGATTAGTCTTTGAGTTATGGCATGTTATACTTGAATTCTTGAGAGTAGGTGCAGACCAGGCTGGTAGGGTCTTCAGTGCTTTACTTTGCTCAGGGGCCTATGATGCTGTTAAGACTACCCTGCCCGTGCTCTAGAACACCCATTGTATAATGCATAGATAGAGGAATGGACATTGCTGATATGTGAAGCTTGGCTAGAGATAATCCTTAAAAAATGTGCCTAAACCTTCAAAGCTGGAAAAGCAAGGACATCTTCTCATTCTACCTTTCATTTGCATCATATTGTGTAAAATTGCTGCATGTATTCTGTGTGGGTGTTTGTTATATCTCATATTGCATGGTAAACTGATGATAAAGTACAAAATATTCTGTGTGAATTCCTTTATTGAACATTTATGTAAACACTCCATAAATAAGTCACAGGTACAAGATTTCTGACATGACCTATATATGAGGCAAATACACCGATCAGCCTTAACTTTATGACCACCCACCTTATATTGAACGGTTCCCGCTTCTTGTCATCAAAACAACCTTGACCTTTTGAGGCGTGAACACAACTTGACCTCTGAAGGTATGCTGCGGTATCTGGCACCAAGCCGCCCGTATTTAGATCCTCCATGGATCGGTTTTTCCAGCACATCCCACAAATTCTCAATTTTAGCATGAGATCTGGAGAATTTTGGAATTTTGGAGGTCAAGTTAACACCTCTCACTCCTTGTTGTATTCCTCAAACAATTCTTGAACCATTTTTGCAGAAAGGCCGAGTGTATTTTCCTGTTAAAAAGGGACCACTGCCATTGGGGAATACTGTTTCCATGAAGGGGTGTATTTGGTCAACAATGATGTTTTGTTAGGTGGTACATGTCAAATAAAATTCACATGAATGGCAGGGCCAAAGTTTTCCCAGCCGAACATTGCCAAAGCATCAAACTGCCTCTGCCATCTTGTCTTCTTCCCATAATGCATCTTGGTGCCATCCCAGGTATGCTATACACTTGCACCTGGCTGTGCACATGATGTAAAAAAGGTGACCAGGCCACCTTCTTCCATTGCTCCGGGGTCCAGTTCTGATGCTCATGTGCCTTTTTAGTAGGTACTTTTGGCTGTGAGTAGGGGCCAGCATGGACACCCTGACTGGTCTGTGGCTATGCAGTCCCATACATAACAAACCGAACTGCCATTTTTTTTTCTGCTTTCAACACATTGACTTCAGCAACATGTTTACTTGCTGTCTAATATACCCAACCAACTTTCAGATGCCATTGTAACAAGATAATCAATGTTTTCACTTAACCTGTCAGTGGTCATAAAATCATGGATGATTGATGTATGTTACCAGTGAAAGTGGAGGTGAGACATCAGCCAGTCCTTAATTAGAATCCCCACTGATGCTCCTGGCTCCCCCTCTGAGTACTCCTATAACAAGACTCTTGCTATTGAGGTACTCATGCAGGCTTGAACACACAAGTCATGCTCTGTGTCCATTGTTTCCCGCTGCTCCCTCCATGGCTAGTGAGAGAAGAGAGCTGCCGCCATTGGGCACAGATCGGGTTCGGGCATGTATAAAGAGGGGCTGGGAGGGGGGAGGCTGAGCACAGAAGGTTTTTACCTTAATGCAGAGAGTACATTAAGGTAAAATAAAAGTATGCCTTTTAGAACCACTGTTAAGATGACTTCATATCGGCTTACAGAGCTGATGTGATTTATAGTGAATGGGAAGGAAAAAGTCCACCGTAAAGCAAACATTGTGTCAGTAGTAACTACTGGGAACATTCAGGCAATTGAATACTAAACTCTAAAAACTAAATCCATTAAAATGTTCTAAACCTTCTTTAGACTGTCATACCAAATGAGCTGTAGTTCTGTCTCCCCTCCCGCTTAATGCAGGTGTCTTTGTGCAGAAGGTAGTGGAGTACATGATAGTTTAAAGCTGATGGTTCCTTTTATTACTAAATGTCTGTATAGTATGTTATTTAAAGGTTGTTGGAAATTGTAACTTTGATGCTGTTTTGTCATGTTTAATTCAGTGTCTTGGAGTCCGATCCCGAGTTTGGATTTGAAGAAGCAAAGACAAAATTACAAGGTTGGCTTGAAATGCAGATTTTTGCATAATGGTTTTTAAAGTATTGTAAGCAAACGTGTGAGAGAAAGGCAAGTACTAAACAATCGCAGGATCAGACGTCTGACAGCGTGCAGTGTCAGTCCACAATTCTCCTTCACATTCCTTCTGTGCTTTCAGAGAACTTGCTGTATTTTTACAGTCTGCCCACATCCTACAATAGAATACCTGGGGCTTGCGTGACCTATCGTCAGTTCTGCCATGTGGGTGTTTTGAGGCATGCTTGTGCTTGCTATGTTTGTTTTAATCTACAGTTGCAAGAAAAAGTATGTGAACCCCTTGGGATTACGTGGAGTTTTGCATGAATTGGGCATAAAATGTGCTCTGAACGTCATCTAAGTCACAACAATAGAAGAACACAGTCTGCTGAACATAATACTACACAAACATTAGATGTTGCCATGGTTTAATTGCACATAACATGTAAACATTCACAGTGCAGGGAGGAAAAAGTATGTGAGGCCCTAGCTTAATGACTTCTCCCAGAGCTAATTGAAGCCAGGAGTGAGCCAACCTTGACTCCAATCAGTGTGATGATATTGGATGTGTTGCTGACAGCTGTCCTGCCCTTAAAAAACACACACCTGTTTTGGGTTTACTGGTTTCAAGAAGCACTGTCTGCTGTGAACCATGCCTTGCAGAAAAGAGCTCTCAGAAGACCTACGATCAAGAATTGTTGACTTGCATGAAGCTGGAAAGGGTTACAAAAGTATCTCCAAAAGCCTTGATGTTCATGTGTCCACGGTAAGACAGACTGTCTACAAATGGAGAAAGTTTAGCACTGTTGCTACTCTCCCTAGGCGTGGTCGTCCTTTAAAAATGACTGCAAGAGCGCAGCGCAGAATGCTGCATGAGGTAAAGAAGAATCCCAGAGTGTCAGCTAAAGACCTACAGAAATCTCTGGCACATGCTAACATTTTTGTTGACACATCTACAATAAGGAAAACATTAAACAAGAATGGAGTACATGGGAGGACACCACGGAGGAAGCCATTGCTGTCCAAAAACAATATTGCAGCATGTTTGAAGTTTGCAAAAGAGCACCTGGATGTTCCACAGCACTACTGGCAAAATATACTGTGGACAGATGAAACCAAGATTGAGTTGTTTGGGAAGAACACACAACACTATGAGTGGAGAAAAAAAGGCACAGCACACCAACATCAAAACCTCATCCCCACTGTAAAGCATGGCGGAGGGAGCATCATGGTTTGGGGCTGCTTTGCTGCCTCAGGGCCTGGACGGATTGTTGTCATTGATGGGAAAATGAATTCCAGAGTTTATCAAGACATTTTGCAGGAAAACGTACGACCATCTGTCCGCCAACTGAAGCTCCGCAGAGGATGGGTGATGCAACAGGACAATGACCCAAAGCATACAAGTAATTCAACAAAACAATGGCTGCAACAGCACAGAATATGCCTTCTGGAAAGGCCCAGTCAGAGTCCTGACCTCAACCCAATTGAAATGCTGTGGCATGACCTTAAGAGAGCAATTAACACCAGACATCCCAAGAATATTGCTACACTGAAACCGTTTTGTGAAGAGGAGTGGTCCAAAATTACTCCAGATCGTTGTGCAGGTCTGATCTGCAACTACAGGAAACGTTTGGTTGAGGTTATTGCTGCCAAAGGAGGGTCAACCAGTTATTAAGTCCAAAGGTTCACATACTTTTTCCTCCCTGCACTGTGAATGTTTTCATGTTATGTGCAATTAAACCATGGCAACATGTAATGTTTGTGTAGTATTATGTTCAGCAGACTGTGTTCTTCTATTGTTGTGACTTAGATGACGTTCAGAGCACATTTTATGCCCAATTCATGCAAAACTCCGCGTAATCCCAAGGGGTTCACATACTTTTTCTTGCAACTGTATATGATTTTTTCAGTCATGAGTCGACACACTTGGCCAGTCTTATTATTTTGGTGATATTTATTCACCTGGGATCTTTATTTTTTGCTAATAGGCTGGCTGTCTAGTACTACACCCTCGAATACATAAGGGTTTACTTTAAGAATACTTACTATAGGCATTATTCACTTGTAAAATGTTAGGTGATTAAAACTCTCTCTCTCTCTCTCTCTCGATCTCTCTCTCTCTCTCTCGACAATTTCACCCCCTTCCTGCCCAGGCCAGTTTTCAGTGCTATCGCACTTTGAATGACAATTGTGCGGTCATGCAACACTGTACCCATATGAATTTTTTAGCTTTTTTTTTAGACAGATAAAACTTTTATTTTGGTGATATTTATTCACCACTGGGATTTTTATTTTTTTTGCTATATAATGAAAAAGTCCAAACATTTTGAAAAAGTGTTTTTCTTATAAAAATTTACAAATAATCATTCTTCATAAATCTTGGCCAAAATGTATTCAGCTATCATTTTAGCAAAAACAAATAACCCAAAGTAGTTTATAACTAAAAATTCTATTTTTTAAAAAAAGTTTTTTTTTTTTTTTTTTATTTTTTTTTATATTATTTTTTTTTTAACATACCATCACCCTAGCAGTACAGTGTCACCATAGTGACACTGTACTACCGTGGGGGGTGATGATTTTTTTTTTTTCTTTTTTTACACTGATTGCTTTTACACCTATAAAGTCTCCTCTCTTTTTGCATTCTTGCAGCCATTGAGTAATACTGTGAGAGCTGTGATTGGTCACAGCTTGTCACATGGTACAAGGCTGTTGTGAATAGCCTTGTACCATGTGACCTCTGCGATCATTCACAGATTTCACAAATAGTAGGCAATGATGTCAGGAAGTGACATCTTGTTTACTACTATTCATGTGATCACTGATTAGCCAATCAGGGATCACATGAATTGGGAGATCACACAGAGGTCCCGTATAGCAATCGGTGTTCTGCTGTGTCTGGAGGACACAGCGGGCACCGAATCGTGGTGCTGTGCTCTCACAGGGAGCGCACACTGGCTGTGAATGGGGGGGCAGTTTATAAACGGCCTGCTCCTGTCTGGCTGGTTATGTACATGGGCCGGACGGGAGGTTGTTAAACTTTGCAGGAATCTAGTGAGCAAACCACTTACTGTGCTCCCTAATACTTCTGCACTGCTATTGGTTAGAATTGTTCCCAGCCTTCTGTCAACTATGGCACACCTTCCCATATGTTATAGAGTTGTGATGATGAGGAGGAGTTCTGTAGTCCTATTGCACTTCCTTTCATAGTGTGACATCATTGCTTCTCCATTTTCACCATAGAACAGGAAGTGTGTTACTGGTAGGATCAACGGGTGAATATAAAGAGAAAAAAGGAAAACTAATACAGCCACCTTATCCAAGTATAGGTGAGCTGCAATATAATACATTATTCTTGGGTTCATATACAATTTAAGGCAAACAAATATTGGGCCCTGATACTGATGTCCACTTTTGTTTTATGCCATATAGAATTGTGTATTAGTGTGAAATGCAGTAAGCCCTGCCAACCAATCAGGCTTTATCTTCCATAAGTTTTGACCAGTTGCAGCATTGAAAAATCTTTTCTGGTTGGATGCTAGGAGTTGTTGCACTTTATTATTGGTTAGTGCACTTTGTTCATTATTCTGTGCCTTGTGTAAACCTTATTGTAATACTGAATTCCTCCTTATAAATGCAGTGGATTAATTCCAGGGTGTGTTTCATTATTTCTATTTTCTGTTCTTTCTAACAGCAAGACCATGGCTTGTGGACTCCTACTGTGAATGGATCAAAAGATTAAAGGTAAAGATGTTTTGCCAGTTACAGATTGAAAAAAATGACTGTGTTCCTATTTAAAAAAAAAAAAAGCTATTTAAATCATTATGAAGGCCTTATCATTGATGTATGGTCAATGTTTTGGTGTTGAACTGAAGACATAGATTCTGAGAGGGCAGGCAACTAAATCAACAAAAAAAGGGAAGGAAGGTCTGTCTTTTATAATGGAAGGCTGGAATAACAGATTTTTGGTTAGTTTTGGAAAAGCACACCTTTGAAATATTTACACATCTAATTAATTCTCTAAGTTGGTATAAAGTATTCAGCAACCTATCTTAATTGTACAGTATGTGACACAGGAAACGTATTCATAGACCTTGGGCACTTGAAGACCGTCCCCCTCTCCCCTATAACCCCGCCTCACTCTGTGAGTACTCAGTTTTTTTGCTAATGTCCTGTGATGATGGACCTATTCTCCCACTCGGAGAAAACACTTTTACTGTTACTTTTAATTTATCTTTGCATTTGTCAACTCTTTAGCCACGGTTTTCTGTATATTAGCCAGCATTGTGAGTAGGTAAGATGGGTTCACACTGTAATTTTGACAGTTAATAAAATCTGAGGTTCTGTTTAAAAGTTTACACTGGAATATGAATACATTTCAAACTTGGCACTAAAATTTTAACCGCTGTGGCAGTGCGAAGCCCTGTCATTGTGAAAATGGATATAAGAATGGTGGGATTCGTATTTATGCAGAGTGCAGGGTTCCAGAGTGTGTTTTGTGAGTGGAGAAAACTGTGTTTACAGCTTTCTCTGGGTCTGTAATCCCTGATTGGTGCCTGGAACTTGAAGGTTCCAAAATTTCTTGAGTGTGACAAAGCCTTCAATCCTGTGTCCAGGTCTTCCTAGAGACTTGCAAGGGTGTGTGAGTGTACAGGTGTGCATATTCATTATAAAGGTAGGAGGTGGCCATAGCTCAGGGCCCTTGTTTAGAGAGGTGTATATATTCCAGCAAGGAGAGGTCATCCACTTGGGAGACAACTCCATGGGGGAGAGACTCCTTACCCGCAGGTCTGGGAGAGTTGGGACAGCAGAGCAAGTCTGCAGGGCTGAGGCAACTAGCAAGCCCAGGGGACTGGAGAAATTCCGTAAGTCTCAGTGTGACAGAGCCTGGTAGTCAGGAGAACCTTTATCTAGAGGTCAGGAGTGGGTCCATACAGCAACGTGCTGTAACTAAGGCTGAGTGACCAGTACCAATAGCAGCAGTACTGCTTAGGAGAGCCAGGTGCCTCAGCATTTTTTTTCGGTTACCTGTTTTGAGAAATTCCCCTACGTGAGCAACTTTGAACATTTACTTTCATTAGCTTTTTCCTTTTCATTAAATTGCTCCGAACTGCAGTTAAAAGGGATTTCTGGACCAATGTGGATTCACTTAAAGATGCAATACCACTGATCCTAATCACCCCATATCATACCACAGGTTATACAATTTACTGCCATCTCTCCTCCCGACCTGAACAAGGACTTTCGGTACAGGACACCCTTGAAATCGGGTTGCTGTGTTATCCTTTTGGACACATTAACCCTATATTCTGCACCCTGCTTTGTGAGTGCTCTGTGGAATATCTTCACTTTGTAGAGTCGTAGCAAAAGCTCAGGCTAACGGTTGCTCTGCCAAGGCCTCACGTGACTCTCCAACTTAGGCTACGTTCACACTAGCCTTGTTTTCAAGCGGCAGCAAGGCGTTTGGGAAGCGTTTTTACCGCTTCCAAACGCCTCGGACAATTCTGCCCATTGCAACACATGGTGCTGTTCTAACGGGAGCGGTAGTGGCGCATCGCGGTTTGGCAAAACGGATGCCTCTGGTCGAGTCAGGAGCCATTGAAGCCTCCTCTTCCAGCCTATGGTGCTGCTCTGCAAACGCCCGGCTGGCGTTTGCGGTGCGGTCGCGACGCGGTTCCAGGGTGTTTGCCGAGCGTTAAAAACGCCCCACAAATGCCTATAATGAAGTTTGAATGGTGTTACCGCTCCGAAAATGCCTAGCAACCGCCGCTGAACCGCGCATGCTCCGCAAACGCCGGACCAACGCTTGCCAAACGCTATAAGGGCGTTTGGCAAGAGTGGGTAAAACAGTCAAGTGTGTTAGGGTGTTAAAGCTTCCCTTACACTGGAGCAGTAACAACAAACTGCCTATATGCCTCCAGTATGCATCAGGCTACTTCTCTAACTAAAGAGGAATTTTCTGCATCCATAGCGCAATTCCTCAGACAGCTGACCATTTTAATACATCCAGTTCTATCCAGAGCAAAAACCTGCATGGCACCTACCCAATCCAGCTGTCTTTCCTGATGTTGGATCCTAAAGTGTCCGCCCTTAAAAGCGACAAGCATACAAAAGGTACAGTGGGGCCCCCAGAAACCATCACAAAACTCTATCCTATGAAAATAGTTTACTACAAAATGGACGGTACCAGTAGTAGATCCAACTGTCTTATGCTTGAATAAGCATCTCACTATTTCACCAAAAGGATCCTGTACATAGGAAATTTGAAGTACACTTAAGAGCTCTTTTAGTCTGGCAGATCTAGCTCTGCAGCCAGCAAGCATTGTCTTGTCTACCTGTCAAATTACAGCTACTTGTTGTGCAATCCTATTGGAGGTTGTCTGTTTGATGAGGGTCTAGACAATTTTGTAAAAGATGTCATTTTTCCTACACAGAGGATGTCCCCAAAAGTCTCCTCCTTCAAAAGTCTCTACTCCCTCAAAGCATAGAGTGCCTACTTTTTCCACTTGGATTTCACCATTTAAATCTACATTCAGGGCTCTTTATGAAGTAGAGTTTTTTCACCCTTTTCTCCTCTAACACATATGATTACCTAAAACTGTTTCTAAGACTTCTTTCCTGTCCCTAATGGATTGGTTACAAACCTCCTTACATATCGACTTGGCATACCTAAACGCTAGAGTGCATTGGTCTTGTTCACAACCACAGTAGCATTCCTATGCAGTCTTTCCCTATGCGGATAAAGTTAATTGAGCCATTTCTTCTGCCTAGACTGACATATTCTGTTCATGTCTCAGACCTTCCTATAGGGTGAGACTATTTAGACTACAACAGTTTCCTAGTTAGATAACTAACTTCAAAATGCTCAATTTCATCCCCAGCCTTGTCTGGAACATTTGGGCTTATCTGCTCGCAGCCTACGAAAGACAGCTCTTTCAGTAGTCTTTTTCATACCAACACTTCTCTGGGTAATTACACATACAGTTGTGTTCAAAATAATAGCAGTCAGACATCACTAACCTGATCAGTCACTGTTTTTGGTAGAAATTATATTTCTACATGGCAAATAATTTACTAGCAGGTGTAGTAGAGTAATAGAAATCCAACAGACCCAACAGTCATGACATGCATTTTGCTGATTCTGTGTAATTGAATCACTAATTGAAAGGGGCATGTTCAAAATAATAGCAGTGTGGAGTTCTATTAGTGAGGTCATTCATTCTTTGAAAAACAGGTGGCAATTATTGCCCTTATTTAAGGAAGGAAGGCAGCAAATGTTGTACATGCTGGTTACAGTGCATTTCTCTCTGAAATTCTGAGGAAAATGGATCGTTCCAGACATTGTTCAGAAGAACAGCATACCTTGATTAAAAAGTTGATTGGAGAGAGGAAAACATATAAAGAAGTGCAGAAAATGATAGGCTGCTCAGCTAAAATGATCGCAAATGCTTTAAAATGGCAACCAAAACCTGAAAGACGTGGAAGAAAGCGAAAAACTACCCTTCGAATGGATGGAAGAATAGCCAAAATGGCAAGGACTCAGCCAACAATCAGCTCCAGGAAGATCAAAGAAGGTCTAAAGTTACCTGTGAGTACTGTTACAATTAGAAGATGCCTATGTGAAGCCAAGCTATCTGCAAGAAGCCCCCGCAAAGTCCCACTGTTGAAAAAAAGACGTGCTGAGGAGGTTACAATTTTCCAAAGAGCACATTGACTGGCCTAAAGAGAAATGGCGCAACATTTTGTGGACTGATGAAAGTAAGATTGTTCTTTTTGGGTCTAGTGGCCGGAGACAGTTTGTCAGACGACCCCCAAACACTGAATTCAAGCCACAGTACACTGTGAAGACAGTGAAGCATGGTTGCGCAAGCATCATGATATGGGGATGTTTCTCATACTACGGTGTTGGGCCTATTTATCGCATACCAGGGATCGTGGATCAGTTTGAATACATCAGAATACTTGAAGAGGTCATGCTGCCTTATGCTGAAGAGGAAATGCCCTTGAAATGGGTGTTCCAACAAGACAACGACCCCAAACAACCCAGTAAACGTGCAACATCTTGGTTCCAGACCAACAAGATTGACGTTATGGAGTGGCCAGCCCAATCCCCGGATCTTAATCCAATAGAAAACTTGTGGGGTGACATCAAAAATGCAGTTTCTGAGGCAAAACCAAGAATTAGAGAAGAACTGTGGAATGTAGTCCAATCATCCTGGGCTGGAATACCTGTTCACAGGTGCCAGAAGTTGGTTGACTCCATGCAACACAGATGTACAGCAGTTCTCAGAAACAGTGCTTATACAACTAAATATTCATTAAGTGATTCAAAGGAAAACAATATCTTCAAACATTTTTCAGTTTTATATAGTGAATTTTTGAGTTTGTAAAGAAGAATACAAACCCTTATCACAATGGTGCCGCGCTCCTAATTGTTGTTAATTAAAGATCATAAAAATTAAATCCAATTGTTTTAATATTAAATCCATATAATAGTATATAAAAAAATGAAGTGCACCCATAAAGTGATAATACACTGAAAATAACAGTCAATATTCAATGTGCACAAAAAATATAAACATGATTGATGATAAATGAGTGATAAATAAATCGGTCTCTGGTGATACTCGTGAAAAATCCCAGGTGATGTGAACTCCAATTCCCAGTGACTTGAATAATGATCTTATTATGCGCTCACCTCATATAAAGTCTATAAATAGGCTACAAACGCTTGTGTTCCCCAAATGGGACTATATCCTTGAGTTGCACCGTAGCAGTAATGGTGGTTACTCCTTAACAGCGTAGCAGTAATGGTGGTTACTCCTTCAATTGCGGCTCTCCTCTCCTGCCACTATCCCCACAAAGATCTCTCGCTCTCTTAATACACTGGAGCACTCCTCCTTGGTATATCCCTCAGTGTGAGAAGAAATAAAGACTTGTATCATCTGCTGACAATTGTTTTTATTAAAGCACTTAATATTGTCTTGACATGAGTGTAATGGGCGCATATTAAAGGTAGTTATTTTTTAAAGGGATAATACACTGTCTTTATTTCTTCTCACACTGAGGGATATACAAGGAGGAGTGCTCCAGTGTATTAAGGGAGCGAGAGATCTTTGTGGGGATAGTGGCAGGAGAGGAGAGGAAATCCTCAATACACCTTTTCAATCTCAGATTGGGTACCAAAGAAATATTTAACACTGCCGTTGCCCTGATCCATGTCTTGTGGTTGATCAAGCATCTTAACCTTTTCTGGCCATAGGGGGATCTTTCTTAGGGTTTTTGATACTAACAAACCCATCCAGCCTTAGCTGGAGCATAGTATACTTTCAATCACCTCCCAGTAACTGAGTGTTTTTCTATGGCAGTTGTGTCCTGTTCCTTTTAGGTTTTAGCATAGTTAGTATTCTTCACCTAGCAAAAACTGAAAGCGTATTCTTCACCTCTCTTCTGATGGCTGGAGTCAGGTAACCTACATCACTTTTAAGACCTGCCCAGTCCACTTGCTATTAGAGCCCAGCTTGTACAGTGACTGGCCTCACATATTTCAGAAATGGACAGTCCCTCTGGGTGACCCTTAAAGTAGAACAAGACCTTTAAAGTGACACTAAAGCTTGTGTGTTTTTTTTTTTTTTTTTTTTTCTAAAATCACAAACATGTCTATACTTGCCTGCTCTGTGCAGTGAATTTGCACAGAACAGCCCCGATCCTCTTCTTTTTGGGTCCCCTCCAGTACTCCTGGCTCTGCCTCCTCGAACAGTGTCCCTCACAAAAAGCTGCTGACCCTGGGGGCACCTCTGCTGTTGCTCGGCCTTGTTCCCCACTCTCTCCTCATTGGCTCACTGGTTGTGATTGACAGCAGTGGTAGCCAATGGGCTCCCGTTGTTGTCTCAGCCAGTGGGGAGGAAGAGTCCCCAGACAATAGAGGCTGTCAAGAACATCGCTGGATCGAAGGGGGCTCAGGTAAGAATGGGGGGGGGGGGGGGGGGGGGCTAGAGGGGGCACTTCCCCTTTATTACTGTTTTGGAGACAACCAAAAATGTTGGCATTTTCTTTTGCTTTCACTTTTGAGGATTACAGTAAACATTGAAAATAGGTTGGAGATCCCTAATAAGGGCACAGAGAGCAATACAAACATGACAGGTGCCCTTTCCAAAACTTAAAAAAAGTTTTGCCTTTTTGTTTTATTTTAATGGTTCCTGTTTTCATGGACCCTGTGTACTAGAGGTTGGTGGTCTTCTTTAAGGCTTTGTTATTTTTGGTGGGTCCCACCATACATCCTGCAGTTGCATCCATGGCCATCTTCCGACCTTTGCTGTCTGGACCAAATGCATTGCACAAGACCCTGGCTCCACTTTTTTGGATTTCCCTGTTCACTACCTGGAGCTTTTACATGTGGCCTTACGATGTTCTGTGGATAGCTTATTGGATAGTTTCCTTCAGATATCCAGGATGATCCTCCTTTTTGTTTTACATAAGAAGAATCCTCTAGCTCAAATGCTGGTTAGCAGAATTATGTGAGAAGCATCTCCAGAGGTTGTTTATTTGGCACCTCCTTGGACAGGTACATCAAGTAATAATCTTCTTCCCCAGGAAAGGAACGCTTGCACTTCCACAGGTAAGCAGGACACCTGAGACTAGGAAAAGTTCCATGCAGGTCTAAGCATGGAGCACAATTTAATTGGAAGACATGGACCTCCAAGCCAGCCAAGTCCAGCTTAAAATGGGGGAATGGGGCAGGGGGGGTTATATAGGGGATGTCACCTGAAGGTAGCTGCATATAACCCATGGTTAAGACTGAGAATCTGTGTCCTGTATTTTACTCCAAAAAAAGGTATTTTAATGGTAAGTAAAAAAAAACACCCCTTTTTTTAATACTAAAACAAACCCCCAAATTGACCCTGATCATATTGTAATTTATCATCTTTATTTCCAGTATCTTTGAATGGTAACCCTTTTCCTTGTTTGCTTCTACACTTAAGGTAATTTTTTTTTTTCATACCAGTAATGACATAAGCTTTCATCAGTGGTTTCTATCTTTTATTTTTAGGGTCCTCCACATAAATGTGCCTTAATTTTTGTGGACAACAGTGGCATAGACATCATTCTAGGAGTGTTTCCCTATGTACGGGAGCTGATCTCCAGAGGTACTGAGGTACAGTAATACTAACATCTTTCTGCTCTCTATACAATCCATAATACATCCGCTGAGCAATGCTTGCATCACATTAGCTGTTTTTAAGAAAAAGAAACTCCCTAATGTTGTACAATAGAAGTGCTATAAGCATGTTCCTCCTGCTAATGGAATCCATGTAACTGCCATATAATACTTAGCACTTGCATTTCTTCTGTCGCCTTACAGCAACACCTTACATGAAGAATTTACATTCTAACAAGCTTTGTGATGTAAATGGTGGAAAAATGGTTCTCATTGTATTACATATTTTCATATTATCATTTGACAGGTCATCCTGGCGTGTAATTCAGGACCTGCTCTGAATGATGTGACGTATAATGAGTCTCTCATTGTAGTTGAACGTATAGCAGAGATGGATTCAATTATACAGTAAGTATACAAAACCTAGATTTTACTAGATCTGTTGGAGCTGCAGATAATGAGTAAAGTGTCCACTGCTAATGCTTTGTAATAGATTCATTATCCATACATGCCTCTGATGTTTTCCAGGCTGTAGCATAATTTTCTGCCTATTCCATGTCTCACTGTCTAGCTTTCTGTTGGTCCACCAGTGCTTTACAGGCCACAGCTCCGACTATTTCTTTCTCTGTTCTCTGGCCAATTACTTCTGAATATGTACCCTGTATACTGTGCGCACATGAGAATTAGTGGTACCAGCATCCCAAGCTGTGTGTCATTGACAAGTAGGGCCTTATTCACAATAGATGGTTGGTGCGCATTTTGGGAATGCAGCGAAGAAAATCTGGAGCTTCCTGGCATTGGGCAGAGTGAGGTGTTATGTGGGATAGTGAAGAGGAGGGTTTAGAGCACAGTTGTCAAACTGCGGCCCTCCAGCTGTTGAGGAACTACAAGTCCCATTATGCCTCTGCCTTTGGGAGTCAAACTTGTAACTGTCAGCCTTGCAGTGCCTTATGTGATTTGTAGTTCTGCAACAGCTGGAGGGTCACAGTTTGACATCCCTGGTCTAGAGAGATGAGAGGATGGTAACTTCTATCCCTGGTCTAGAGAGATGAGAGGATGGTACCTGCCTAGCCTGCCACTACTGTCCGTAGACTGGTGCTCTGATTCCCTTTCTCGGCAGCTTAGCTTGCATGAATGTCCCTCACAATGGTGACTTGACCACCTTCCATTCTCCTAAGAGATGTATGGCCAAAGCTTTTTTTTTTTTTTTTTTTGGCCCTACATCTCCTATGGATCACAGGGGTGCAGTTCATTCGAGCCGTTTTCAGCCAACAGCAGGCTAAAGCTCGCTGTCGACCGACATCATTCAGCCGGCAGGCTCTGGATTGATGCCCAGAAGCCTGTTTGGCAGCTAGCTCATGCCTCTCGGCAAGCCACTGAGAACCTGAGCCAGCCGCTCTCATCCCCTACACAGCTCAACACTCCAGTGAGCATTGGAAGGGCAGAGCAAAGAGCCTGTGACAGTCACTGGCTCTCTGCTAGCTGAAGACTGAGAATTGAGCGATCCAAGACAGCTAGTTCTCAATCTTAGAAGCAGCATGAGACAGATGCAGAATCAGATGCTGCATCTATCTAGGTGAGTATATTTATTTATTTATGTATTTATTTTTTAAGAACCCCATACTTCTCTTTTAAAGCTGACCTCTATGTTTAGTGTCCTTTTTAAATAGTTTTAAAATGTGTAAAAAAGCACAAAAAGCCTAATATAAATAAACCTAAATAATAATAGTCTAAATCTAAAACACAGCACAAAAACTAAATATAAATATATAATAAAATAATATTTGTGTCCAAAACAAAGTCCCAATCCAAAAAAAATGTTCCACATCCAGTGTGCTTCAGAAGAAATAGTGATGGATCTCGTTCAAAGGAAACTTCAGTGTATTGACACCCTCTGTGACAACCAATATATATTGCACTCACCAAATGTAATGGGCTCTCAAAAGATTTAAGAGTCAAAAACGCTCTTTGGATAATGAATATCCTGCCAATAGGGACCACCACCTTTCAGAAAGATGCTCCAATGGAAGGATTTTCCACGCAATTTGCTCAATATAAAAAAAACTAATAATGTAATATTGTCAAAAGCAATTTATTCCCAAAAAAACTGCAATAATTGCACTCACATGTTTAAAACACCAAAACCGCCTTTAGTCAATTATATATGACCATCATAGTCATCTCTGTCACTGAAGATTTTCCCAGAGAAATGAATTTGCAGCTCTCATGGAAAATACAGTGAAGATGGCCCTGGAACGCAGCGTTCCGCTCACCGGATATGTTTGAGCTACACTAGAGGACTTGAAAGCTTTGCTGTGAACTTTGAGGATTAATTGCTCCATACATGCAGAGGTTGGTGAGGGCTTGGTTTTAAAGTCCATCTACTTCTTGGTAAGAATGTGAAAGCTGAATGTCCAAAGCTTCCCCACAGATTCACTTTAAAACAAATGAGCAAAAGCAGCCTCTATATTTCTGACTAACTCCCTTTCACAAGAATAGGCAGATGTCCCAGATTTGGCCTGTTTTTACAGCTAACAAAAATTGGAAGCTTTTGTTTGTTTTTTGTTTTAAATGTTTTTAAAAATCTGCATTCCACTGCATAAACTAAATTTGTTTTTTTCCTAATTCTACTGTATGATGTTTGTAAGTATTGGCTTGCTTTATTCCAGGTCTGCTCTGCAGAGTGAGAAGTTAATTCTGGTACAGACAGGTTCCAGTTCTCCTTGCCTCGATCTTAGGTGAGTTCTGATGGACCTTTTGGGGGATATTTACTAAAGCTGGTTCACTCAGAACCTCACTCACCTGTGCTTAGTAGCCAATCAGCTTCTAACCTCAGCTTGTTCACTTAAGCTTTAGCAATAAAACCTGGAAGCTAATTGGCTTCCATGCAAAAGTGCACAAGATTGAGTGAATCAGCTTTAGTAAATAAAATCCAATGTGCCAGTGTCTTATTTGAACAAAATTAGGGATCATGCCTCATTATGTCCAAGTAAGATTCTGATACACAGGGGTTTATTTTCTAAAGCTATCAGGCTCACTTCTGCTTAGAAACAAATCAGCTTCCAGGTCTTATTTCTGATGCCTATTTGAACAAGCTGAGGTTAGAAACCAATCGGCTTCTAACCTCAGCGTGTTCGATTTAAGCGTTGGCAATACAACCTGGAAGCTGATTGGTTTCTATGCGGAAGTGAGCCTGATAGTGCACTCTCTAGCTTTAGTAAATAAACCCCAAAGTATCCGTTTTTTGTATTTTTTTTTTATATGACACAACCAGTTAAAAATCAAAGCTCATGTGTGGCAATACTAGATGATCATTCCACCCAAAACTAATATTTCAGTTTTGGCCTAATGGTGACAGGTTGAGCCACTTGACGACGGTTTCTTTTTGGTGATGAGATACTTACTTACAAATTCCAGGCTCTGCCCACCTGGCTCAGCCTTTTTAGGAGACAATGTCATTGGAGAGAATAATGGTAAGAGCTCCAAAGAGGAAAAGAGTCGCTGTATGATTTTTATCCTACTGGTGTTCATGTAGAGCAAATATTTGAGTTATAACTGAGTTGACCTTTTCAATAGGACTGTTCTCTTTACATTTTTTAACGATCGATTGGGTGTACTTATCCTCTTATGCAGTTCTCAAGATGTACTTGGTACAGCCTTCTACATGCCCTTTTTTTGCTCAGCCACAGCTTGTAATCCAGGTTAAACAAACACAACCCTATTGATCTTGTTATAATCCTTTTTGTGAAACGGCATTCATTTCTGCTTACAGCCGCTTAGACAAAGGCCTGGCCATGCTGGTGAAGGAGAGAAACACAGACCTGGTCATTATTGAAGGCATGGGCCGAGCGATCCACACAAACTACTATGCTGTGCTTCAGTGTGAGAGTCTGAAGCTGGCTGTCATCAAAAACTCCTGGCTGGCAGAAAGACTGGGGGGCAAAATCTTTAGCGTTGTTTTCAAATATGAGACTCCACCCAAGTGAGACCACTACTGCACCACTGCTCTCCATTCCTCAGCACTAGTTTTATTCTTCCGTTGTAAAGAATGTATTTTTATTACAGGGATGGGGGGTAAACAATTGCTGTATTTATATTGTGCTTTTGTGCTGAACTGAAAAATGGACAATATGCATCGATATAAATAAATTTAAATTATATATTACATTTTTGCTTCTTGTGTGTATTGCTTTGTATAACCCTTTCATGACCAGAGTTCATTGCAGCTAGGATGCCTAGGCCAAAACTAGCAGTGTTCATATGTGTTGGTTGACTTGTATTTAATTTGCCTACTTTAATGTTTATATATTTTAAATTACAGTAAGGTTTGCTTTTTTTCATTTTTTTTTTATATGGCACAAGTCAAATGCAGCTGTTAATGAATTCTGAATGATCTTAAAAGTGTTTTAAACTGATGCCTTTGACACAAGCCCTGAATGACTGACTTAATTTGCTAATAGTTGGAAGTTAAGAACTCAGTTTTTCCAATCATGGATACCAGAATAGGTATTTATTTTCTAAGCTGACTTGAGAGAATCAGAATTGCAATCTGACCTTGGGCATCACCAACGCTTTTTTTTTCCACCAGATGCAATAAGGGCCTTCCAAATGCGTAGTATACACGGTGAGAATAACAAAAAAAATTCCCTGGGAGTGATTGTCTGATACTTTCGTTAGTGCACAGCTTTCAACAGCCAATCATGACAGTTCATGTGAAAATATCTAAAGGAACAAGTACAAAACTTTTTTTCAGATAACAGAGCGAACAATTTTTGTATTTGTATGAAAATAATTGCATGATCAAGATCACACATGCACGGAAACAAAAGAATACATTACAATGCAATACATTTCATCACTTCTGAAGTTTTATTCTGTCTTACAAGAATTTTTGTAACTTTAGTAACCTCTTCATTTTCTATATGAGACTTGCATGCAAAAAAAGGCATAATTCGGTCTGATATTCTCATCGTGTCTACTAGGCAAAAGGACTCGAAATAATAATTTTTTTTGTTTCCCCTCACTGTTAATAGTATAGTATCTTTGTTTAGAAAAGATAAAGCATTGTGATTTTGTTGTAGTCCATATTTATTAAGGAATCCTTAATACAGGTTAGAAAACCTAATTTTTGTTTGCCATACAAACCTCATGAATGAGCACATGGGCTTTTGTTACATCTGTTAACATTTTATTCATCGATTTTTAAAATCAACAAACACACAGCACAGTCACAGTTATTAAACAGATTACAGGTCTATTTCTCATAACTGGATAGAATACAACAATACAAATTAGCTCTAACATTAGTAGCTGCCTTTGTCTTGCATACTGTATGGAAAATTAAATCTGTAGACAAAAAACACCTAAACAGCTGACATCTGTAAACAGGATTGTATGACTTCTGATTAATTCTCATATTTAATAGTGTGTTCTAAAATCTGAACTGTGATCTTGGCAGGAATACACAAATCTATTGTACTACTGTGGCATCATTGAGGCACATTGTAGGTGAAATCGTGAGTCTCTGTGCCAATTCAACAACTTGCGGAGAATTAAGCAGTTCATTAATCCAAGCTGTCATGATTTTGCATGTTAAATGGAATGTATAGTGTTTTTGTATAAATCTTCTTACTATCTTAAAGGATAAGTTCACTTTTCTACAAAAATTAATAAATGCACATTTCTTTGCAGGTAAAAAGGTAATCGGTAGATCGCTGATGCCATGCAGGTCTCCTGCAGACTGTCAGTTTTCAGGTTGCCTATAGGGGATGTATGAGCAAGTAGATACACTGACAGGAAGACTTAATAAACTACCACAGTGCTCACAGCACTGTGGTAGTTCATTGAAAACTACATGCCGACAAGCCAAACTATTTTTAAAAACTTCTTTTTCCCATACTTTAGTTGCGGTGGGGGGGGAATCGGGCAGTTGTTGCAGGATTTGGAACATACTCCACCCTAAAAACGGTGGAACATGTAACATGTTCCCAAAGGTTAACTTATCCTTTTAAACTTGCCATCATTAATTGCCTTGCTCTAAATTTACTTGAAGCTCAAATTCCACACACAGCTGCGTCAGGTCAGATAACTGATTCACTCCTCTGTTTACCTAACTGTAAGGAGTTTTTAATTGGAGGGATACTGGGTGAAGCTACTATTTTACTTTCTCTTTAGGGAAGCAAGAATGTTTTGCAAAACCAGTGTCACGGGAGCACCTGTATTAAAATGTATTTATTCATATAAAATCTTTTCTTGTACAAAGTTTTTTTTTCTTTTTTTTTAAACTGTTTGCAATGTTCAACTTCAATTTTTTAAAAAAGATCTTGAATACATTGTCAGCTGGAAGTGTCCCTTCATTGACATGTGTACATAATCTAGGCTGACCATATGAATTGTGTGTGTCAAGGCAATATAAATTTGATACCTAGTGTAAAAATCAATACTTATGTATACAACCATTCCTAACGGATTCCTAAAGATCCTTCCAGCACATAAAACAAACTCAAATGTCCACCTTACAGCATGTTTTTTTTTTCCAAAAGAGAAAAAAAATGGGAGTGATTGTCCTGAGGGACTGCAGTTCAAAGAGTTTCCTGCAAAGAAATACTGCAACCGGCTACCCTAAGAAGCAGAACGCTCTTCCCAGGTTAATTTTAGGTTGTACTTTTAAAAAAAATCTAGTACCTAGAGTTTTTCTGCTACATACAAATGCATACCATAATTTAAGTGCTGAAGAAAAAAACAAAACACTTTTTCTTCAAAAGCCCATTGATAGCCATGGTATTTTGATCACATGGTTATGTTTAGCTACAATCATGTGGCTTTGTTTATTAACTAAGCTTTGTGCTTGCCAATATGTTGCCAGGAAATGCTAGCAGGAATAGCTTACTGCTCGTATCATAGCTTACTGCTGGCATCAAAGACAAGTAAATCAGTCCCTTTTTGTATTCCAAAACCTGTCACTGATGGCCACTGATACTGCCCTGGGTAAGGATCCCTGCAAATACTGTACTTTTAAATGTAACCTGGCTTGTAGAGCATTCATGGTACCTATAGTAAATAAGTGAGGTTGATGGTTGTTTGATGTCTAAAACTGATACAAAGGCAGAACATTTGTTAAATTTTTTTTCTCTTTAGTACTTTAAAAATGTAAACCATATGCTTGCAATCTTCATGTGTACACCAAGCTGAGTGGTCTGAGCTTCATGGGTCTATGCCTTCGCTTCATCACAGCTGTTCGAAGTGGGGGATTTCTGGTCCTGTTAAACCAGACATTATTGTGATGTAAACATTGTATTTACTGTAGAGAAAACATAAACTGTGCTAGGCTAGAGAAGTGTGGCATAATGAAGGTAAAGGCATTTTCTTTTTTTCTGCAAAAGATATAAGTTTAAATGAGTTAAAAGGTTGGTTCACCTTTAACATAAACTGTCTATGCAGGTAAGGGGCACCTGTAGATAAAGACAAACTCTGCACCTTTGGTCAAAGTTCACCACTTGTTCTCTGGAAGGTTTTACCTCCTTCATGAACATGGGCAGTTTTCTGGTAAAGGTGAACTAACCCTTTGAGCTGGTCATACACAGGATTTTTTTTTCTGAAAAATCGTTCATCAGAACATTTTTTTTTTTTCCTTGCCATCATTGAGTCAACTAATTTTGTTTGAAAGCCTTTAAAATGTTGTCCAAACCTGCTATTTGAATGGAAACCCAGATGTCATAAGATATTATATATTTTTTTTTCTCATTTGAGAATTTCCATTCTCCATTCCAATATAAAATAGAACAAATGTTCCAAAAATTTCAAACAAAATTCTACTGTTGTATGACCAGCTTTAGATATCAGTGGCTTAGTAAGGGTCTGGCTTATGAAGTGCTGGTGTAGTCACCATTTTAAATATTTATGGGTGTTCGACAGGATAGGAACATGTTATTACCCAAATCTGGGTCTAGGTTTCCTTTAATGTGTAGAACTTAACCAACAGGTAAGAGTAAATAAAAACAGCATACATTTAAGTATGTGCCATTTTAATGGGAATTCCAGGTTTGATTAACTTTACCTAATGTTATATTACAGTTATCATTTAGCATAATTGGGTTAAACCCTTTCTTTGGGGGAGACTTCCTCAGAAAAATATGTATACTTGCAACGTAAGCATATAGTTTATATATAAAACGGGCTTTAGCTTTTATGAATGTATTGTGTACAACAAGCTATTTTTTTTCAAAGCTTTCAGGCAGCTTTGTTAAAGACTTTAAGCCCTGGTTCACACCTTTGCTGCTTTGAAGTCACGCTACTTTGCTATCAGTGCAATTTCATGTCTGGCTTGCTGACATATGTGTGACTTCATTGAACAGATGTCAATGCAAGTCTCAATGAAGTTGTGCAGAAATGGTTAGAAACCTTTTTCAAAATCACTGTGGAAAAGAATGGTCGGACTTCACAGTGCAGGTTTGATCAAAAAGTGAAAAATATATATTGATCCATAAAGAGACACAAATAGCACCAGGACAATGCTAGCTGTTAACAAGTTTCACAAGGTCACGTGCTTAGTCTTGGTTATGACTAAGCACATGACCGTATGAAAACCCGTTAACGGCTAGCATTTTCCTGGTTCTATTTGTGTCTCTTTATTGATCAATAAATATTTTTCACTTTTTCATCAATCCTCTGGGGTGTGGCCAAACTTTTTTTTTTTTTTTTCTTCTGTGGTGGCAAGGCAGGGTCTGCACCTGTGTTGGGTTTGACATTGATTGTTTTACCTGAGCGGTATTACTTTCCTTCATTGGACTCCATGTCAAACCCAAGACAGGTGCAGACCCTGGCTGCACCCCGGAGGTTTGATGAAAAAGTGAAAAAATATTTATGGATCCATAAAAAGACACAAATAGCACCAGGACAATGCTACCCATTGTGTTTCACACGGACATAACCAAGACTAAACGCGTTTCACAATGTCACGTGCTTCGTCTTGGTTATGACTATGCATAAGACCTTGTGAAACACGTTAACGGGTAGCTTTGTCCTGGTGCTATGTGTCTTTTTGTGAATCCATAAATATTTTTCACTTTTTCATCAAACCTCCGATGTGCGGCCAAACCCTTCTTCTTTTCTGTGGTGGCAAACCAGGATCTGCACCTGTGTTGGGTTTGACATTGAGTCCAATAAAGGAAGGAGGGAATCCGAGTTTAGTTTAACATCTTTAAAACATGAACTGAATATTTAAGCCCTGGTTCACACCTGTGTGACTTCACAGGTCAAAGTTGTATGACCAGTTGCACAGGTCAAAGTTGTATGACCAGTTGCACCCCATTTGTGGCAATGGAACCATTCAAGTCACAGTGACTTTGAGTCCAATAAAGAAAAGGAATACCGCTCAGGTAAAACAATCAATATCAAACCCAACACAGGTGTAGACCATGGCTTGACACCATTGTAAAGAAGGGGTTTGGCAGCACACCGGAGGTTTGATGAAAAAGTGAAAAATATTTATTGATCCATAAAGACATATGTAATAGTTTAAGTAGTAAGTATTTCTATTTAAAAGTGAAATTGTGTGTTTTTTTTTTTTTTTTTTTAAGAACTGGGCAATCAGGGGTCTTTGGTCGCTCAGTTCTTAAGTGCTCTGTGATTAGAGAACTGGTGACTGTTAAAGTAACAGCCAATACCCAAGATCTGTGTTTAACATTCCCAAACTGCAGCTGAAACTTACTGCCTCAACAAAGTTGGCTGTACATGCTACTCCTGCACAAGTTGAAGCCTGTGTGTACAAGCCTTCCTTAAACTGATAGGGAAGTCTATTTTTTTTTTTTTTTTTTTTTTAAGTTATTCATTGTACCTACAGGTAAGCCTAATTTACGTTTACTGTTTAGGAGATATTCACATTGGCAATAGCCGATTTTATTATTTTTTTTTTAATGGTGGTTTACTACCACTTTAAAGGACAATACCCCTCTTTCACAACTGAAATAAGTTTAAGGGGATGTTGGCTGGTTTAATTAGCATGTTTAATCACTTGGGGACAATTGCAGGTGTCTTTAGTGCAGCTAGCCCAGCTCACTAAAAATGGGACTACTAATTTTTTTTTTTTTACAGGGACTAGCGTGCGTGTGTCTTTTGAGAAGAGAAAGAGAACCTTCAGTGCACCATAGTTACAACTGGTAAATTCACTATTACAGAGGCACCACTACAGGAGACTGATAATGATTCTTAGTTGCAGATTAACAAATCTTTTCCTTCCAGTAGAATTCCAAACCTATGGTTGTACCTTTTCCAGACCCTCCTGATTTTGTGCTTTTCCAAAACGCTGGGCTATCTCCTCTGCGAATGATGAGCAGCAGGACTTCTGTATGATAAAAATACAATTCTTAGTGCATTTAAAATATATACTTTGCCATCTTTAAACAAGCTAAGTATTTCATAACACCAAGTCTCACTTCTTCCAATTGCTTTCTTTTTTTGTTAAATTTTATTTTTTTAATTCATCTTTTATGTTATAGGCTTCACCTTCTATAATTACCAACCAGTGGTAGTCTAGACACATCAACTCTGAGTGTAAACATGTTATTTATTTACTATGGGTACTTGTATAGCGCCATCAATTTGCACAGCGCTTTAAGTATATGTATTATACATTCACATCAGGCCCTAGCCCTCAAAGCTGTACAATCTAAGGTCCCTAACTTACATTTATACATATCAGGGCCAATTTAGAGAGGGGCCAATTAACCTTCCAACATGTTTTTGAAGTGTGGGAGGAAACCAGAGTACTTGGAGGAAACCCACACAGGCACAGGAAGAACATGCAAACTCTAGGCAAGTGGTGCTGTGGTTGGGATTTGAACCAATGCCCCGAGTACTGCCAGGCAGAAATGCTAACCATTTAGCCACTGTGCTGCCATTGTGGTGATGCAGTTTTGGGGAACCCGTGGTAGTATATGGGCAGGGATGGGATTGTTAGATGCATAAAAAATTAGCATTATCAAAAAATGTCACTTGATCTCTGGTAATACCCCCACCATAAATACATCCCTATTCTGTTAGGGTTTACCTTTGTTCTGCATAATGTGATCTTTTAAATATAATGGTATGTAAAATCAGTGGCTGAGGCAAGTAGCAAGCATTGTGCAAATTCAGTATAACAAGAGGCATTCAATTCTAGTTACCCAAGGACAACTCCTTGATTCTGACTGGTGACAAACGCTCTACCACCTTTGACGAGTAATTATAATCCAGGGCAATGAGAATATTCATAGGTTGAGGACATTTAATTTCTGTATATTTTTTATTTCAAAAACTGTGGATCTGGGATTTTCACACACAGCCATCTATAGGGTTTACAGAGCATGGTCAGAAAAAGAGAAAATATCCAGTGGGCAGCAGTTGTGTGGATGAAAATGTGTTGTTGATGTCAGAGGTCAGGAGAATGGGCAGCTTGGTTACTGTGACATTCAGAATTTGGCGTAAACAACATGAAAACATGGATCCATCTTGCCTTGTGTCAACAGTTCAGGCTGGTGGTGTAAGAGTGTGGCCAGTGAGTGTATACTAAAATGTATGCAGCTTTTACTTCCTGACTGCCTATCACATTTTTTGAGGAGCTAAAATGTCAGGGCAGTACGAAAAAAAGACATCCCAAGGAATTTGCTGATAGGCATGATGAATCCATGGAGCATAACTGAGTGTGAAAAAAAAAAATTGTCATCAGTTAAATGATACACTGCTCTAAAGGAATACTTTGAAAATACATCAGATCTCAATGGGGAAAAATATGCTGAATATCTATACTGATATGGACTGGGTAATGTGTTCAGAACATAAGGATGCCCCATCATTTGATGGAAATGAAAATTATCAACCTACAGAGGACTGAATTCAAAGACACCCAGAAAATCAAAGTGAAAAAAAGTATGCAACAGGCTAGTCCATTTTGCTGAAATTTCATTGCAGCAATTCAAAACAGTACCCAATAGTTTGTATGGCCCCCATGTGCTTGTATGCATGCCTGACAATGTCGAGGTATGCTCCTAATGAGACGACGGATTGTGTCCTGGGGTACTTCCTCCCAGATCTGGACCAGGACATCACGGAGCTCCTGGACAGTCTGATGTGCAGCCTGGTGGCGTCGGATGGATCGAAACAGGATATCCTAGAGGTGTTCTATTGGATTTTCAAAATAGATAGTGCCGCGCTCCCATGTACCAATATGTATATCTTATACTTTCAAAGTGCTAATGAATAGCTTTCAAGATACTGCATGTATCAAACAATTATTACTAGTGACTCAAAACATCATTGTGAATATTAATCTTCATGCAAGTGACATTAATAACTGATAATCCTAAGGTGATAGTGCCTATTAAAGTACAGTGATATACAAATCAGAAATACTCCTCTATTCTACTGTGATCCTTATATTTATATTGTGCAAACACATATATATTATGTGCACGTGCTTATGATATATTCAATAAAAAAAAAAAAAAAAAAAAAGTCTTTCAAAATAAATGTGCAGGTGGATTCTTGGTTCCCTCTCGCCGAGTGCTTAATGGTCTCCCTATGTGCTCACCTCTATATTTGCCTGAATAAATCCAGGCAAATACACTTTTTATCCTTCCAGGATAGATGGGATGGAATGATGCTCTTGAATTATCTCAGAAGGTGGATGTGGATTTATATTTGTTCTCCTGTAGCTGCTCATGAGTGGGTATACTGACCATCTCTCTGAGGATCTCCCAATTCCCCTCCTGGGGCTGTTTCCTTTTCCAGTCCTCCTTATATCAGCTCAAAGGGTGTTGTTCAATTGAGAAAGGAAGACAAACAGACCATAGTGTCTTATCCTTGTGCAAAAAGGGGGTTTATTGCTGCCAGTTGCACAGTAGTATACAATTGTAGTCCAGCATAAATGTGCTCTGCCTCTGTTCCTGCAGTGCTGTCTACCTGTGTCTGTATTCAGATCACCGAGCCTCTCCAGTGCAATTAGATCACAGTAGTATACAATTGTATACTACTGTGCAACTGGCAGCAATAAACCCCCTTTTTGCACAAGGATAAGACACTATGGTCTGTTTGTCTTCCTTTCTCAATTGAACAACACCCTTTGAGCTGATATAAGGAGGACTGGAAAAGGAAACAGCCCCAGGAGGGGAATTGGGAGATCCTCAGAGAGATGGTCAGTATACCCACTCATGAGCAGCTACAGGAGAACAAATATAAATCCACATCCACCTTCTGAGATAATTCAAGAGCATCATTCCATCCCATCTATCCTGGAAGGATAAAAAGTGTATTTGCCTGGATTTATTCAGGCAAATATAGAGGTGAGCACATAGGGAGACCATTAAGCACTCGGCGAGAGGGAACCAAGAATCCACCTGCACATTTATTTTGAAAGACTTTTTTTTTTTTTTTTTTTTTTTTTGATTGAATATATCATAAGCACGTGCACATAATATATATGTGTTTGCACAATATAAATATAAGGATCACAGTAGAATAGAGGAGTATTTCTGATTTGTATATCACTGTACTTTAATAGGCACTATCACCTTAGGATTATCAGTTATTAATGTCACTTGCATGAAGATTAATATTCACAATGATGTTTTGAGTCACTAGTAATAATTGTTTGATACATGCAGTATCTTGAAAGCTATTCATTAGCACTTTGAAAGTATAAGATATACATATTGGTACATGGGAGCGCGGCACTATCTATTTTGAAAATATATATATACACTAGCATATGAGTCAGTGCAAGTGCCAGCGAACCTCACGTGAGAAATAAGGACATCTAAAGTCACATATTGAACACCTCATTTCATAATAGCTCACAAGCATTCACCATTTATGTTCTATTGGATTTACTGTAGGTCAGGCGAACGTGGGGGCCATTTAATGGTATCAATGTCTTCATTCTCCAGGAACTGCCTGCATACTCTCGCTACATGAGGCCGGGCATTATAGTGCACCAGGAGGAACCCAGGACCCACTGCACCAGCATAGGGTCTGACAATGGGTCCAAGGATTTTATCCCGATACCTAATGGCAGTCAAAGTGCCATTGTCTAGCCTGTAGAGGTCTGTGTGTCCCTCCATAGATATGTCTCCCCAGACCACTGACCCACCACCAAAACGGTCATGCTGGACTATGATACAGGCAACATAACGTTCTCAATGGCTTCTCCAGACCCTTTCACATCTAACAGATGTGCTCAGGGTGAACCTGCTCTCGTCTGTGAAAAGCACAGGGTGCCAATGACGGACCTGCCAATTCTGGTGTTCAATGGCAAATGACAATCAAGCTCTATGGTGCCAGGCCCTGAGCACAGGGCCCACTAGAGGACATCGGGCTCTCAGGCCACCCTCATGAAGTCTGTTTCTGAGTGTCTGGTCAGAGACATTCACACCAGTGGCCTCCACCAGAGGTCATTTTGTAGGAACCAGTAAGATAATTGGCACTGAGAGGGAACTCTCGTGGTAAGATAAAAATGGATGAACAGATGTGGCGACAATAAGGCAACAATAACCATATAAAAGTTTATAAAATGTAAAAAAAAAGATATCACATTAAGTCCATATTGGAGGCACTAGCAGTGGCAGCTCCCTATAGAGCGAAGCAATACTCTGTAGAAGATATAAAAGAACACAAGAGGACGCCAACCTAAGCACAGAGGCTTAAAATCATTTATTAAAATACAGTAGCATATAGCTACTCACAAAGGTAGGAGAATGGTAAGCATGTAAGCATTCTTCTTCAGAGGCCTGAAGAAGTGGATGCTTCGAAACGCATCACCTGATCCTTCCTCGCCTTCCCACTGGTCGCCAGCCCCGGTCTGGACTTCCGTGCGCTCCATGCTGGTCATGGCGCCGATTTCCAGCATCCTCACTGCTGACGGCTTCCATTCCAAGGGACCAGGGCTCTGATTGATACCATCGGCCCCCCACTGTCCAAACTGAAGACAGACATGCATGCTTACCATTCTCCTACCTTTGTGAGTAGCTATATGCTATTGTATTTTAATAAATTATTTTAATCCTCTGCACTTGGACAGTGAATGGCGCTGATCCTGCTAACACTGCGTTTTTGGGGACACTATGCTAAGGAGGCCAGTAGTATAGTTCTGTTCATGATCAATATATTGATCTGTACAAACACTATACTAGTAATGGGGGGGATCATGGACCTATAGCTGAGTTCAATAGTGTGCGGGCAATCTAATGCTAGCTGACCCTGGCTGGGAGGGAAGCTTACAGACCCAGACACTATCTGATGTCGCTAGTGGCAGCAATACAGGGATCAGTGAAAAATTCTATATACTGACACTGTACTAATGGCACTGGTTGGGTGACAGAGGGATCAAAGGGTTAAATGTGCTACTCTAACGTGGTTGTGTGTGCGGTGTTCACTCTTCTGTCCCTGGACCGACGTGGAGGGGCACAGGCGCATTCACACCCCAAAATAGAAATCGATGTAAGGGTACATAATTTTGCCCGCACATTGTAGGCAGGCGGTCGGCAAGTAGTTAAACAAAAAGAAAAATCTTACTACAGTATTTTTTTTACATACTTTTATCAGAGTAGTACAATGTTACCATAGTAACATTGTACTACTCTGGGGAGTGATCAGGGATTTTTTTTTTTCAACACTTCGCTATGCAGAAGCAGTACATCTTGCTTTGAACGGTCATGAATGGGTTAAGTCCATGACAGTTGAAAATAATAGTGATCTGCGATTGGCTAGAGCAGATCACATGGCACAGGGCGCTGCGATTGGCCCCATGTACAATGTGAGAGCTGTGGGCCAATCACAGGTCACCAGGAAGAAAAGCAGAGCTGTTATGAATCAGATTGGGGGGGGAGCACTGTGCACCTGCCTGCCTAGCTTTGCCTGTAGCTGCTGCCTGTCCGCAGTACATTGCGGGCGGTTGGTTGGCAAGCGGATAAGGAGCCGTATAACTTGAAGACCTTAGGGCTTTTTTACACCTGCAGCTCCACTGAATGCATATCTGCTGGGAGGAACAGTGCTGTTGCGATGAATCTGGAACTGTCAGAACACTTCTAGAACTTTATTGAATTTATCCAGTTTGAGTCACAGCAGCGGTTTTGCAAAGTGGTGGTTTGCATCGCAACGTGTGGCGCTGCAAAAACATGCAGTACATTTTTTAGTGCACACCACCACAACACAGTGATTTCATAGATTGCCCAGTGCAGAGAAGAATGTTGTGAATGAACCCTTAAAGTATAGCTAGAATCAAAACCTTTACTTTCATTCTGGAGAGAGTAGGGGAAGGTAAAACCACTGTCAGCTTTTTTTTTGCCATCTGTGTCTCCATAGGGAGATTTCCATTAAAATTCTCTCATTTCCTGTTGAGTCTAGAAGTCAAACAGTTGTTACAGGAATGTGTCCAGATGGAAAATGTACCCTCTAATTCCTGTTTAGGTGGCAATTTCATAGTTTGAATTTACACTCCGTTTTATTTCCAGTGGTGTGGTGATCTGAAAAGGCTCAGCAAATCCTGTGTGAGCGGGGAGAGAGGACAGAGGTGACAGAGACAGGCCCAGCGCTTAGGGACCTGTCCCCTAACAGGGACAAAGACAAAAAAAAAGAACCAGACATTGGTGCAAACCCCCTTGCCACTCTATCAAAATAAAACAAAAAGTTTTGTCTTTAGTTATACTTTAAAACCTAGCTGAAGTCTCACACATTTTTACGTTACCTTAGTGTAGTCTTTAAAATAGAAGTTGAAGGTTTACTTTTTTTTTTTAAGAAATCACACTTACCTAGGTGGATGCCGTATCCATCCCCCGCCAGCTCTAAGTCTGAGAAATGAGTGATGAAAGACTGCTGATCGTTCAGTTCTCAGTGCTCCGTGAGCAGAGAGCTAGTGACTGTCAGTCAACACTCACTGCTCTGCCCCCCAGCGCTCACATGAATACAGGACTGTGGAGGGGCGGGAGCAGGTGGTTCAGGGATCTGAATGGATTTGGACTTTAAAGTTGGGATCTTTCCACAGCCTCGAACAGCTGAGTGCTGTCAGCCGGCAGTGGACTTTACCCCGCTGTCGGCTGAAAGTGGATCACAGGAGTGCAGAATGAACTGCACTTCGATGATCCACAGATGTACAGATGAGCTGTGAATGTAAATTTAATTTTTGTTTTTAAATAACAAACAAGTTATACTTATTTGTATTGCACAGAGCAGGGATAGTGATAAATATTAATTCATGCTTCCAACTGTAAATCTATGTTTTTTTGGACTTTATGAGCACAGAAATAGATATTTTTTGTTGTGTGCGGTTGCACTTTTACTGTTCACTATTATACACATTGATTGTATTCATTGTTTGTTCACTTAATGAGGTATTTGTAGTTACATGTGTGTGTTGATGTACACATTTGCTCACTTTTTGGATATTTATATAATTAATTTATGAGTCAATTTTTTTGAATGTGAGCATATATATTGTATTCTTTACAGTTGGAAGCATGAATTAATATTTATCACTATCACTGCTGAGCTCTTAGGCTTGTCCACATATAGTAGTGTCACTTGATATGATTTATTTTGCATGATTCCACTTGATTTGGCACTATATTAGTTCTATATTTGTTTTAATATTTGTTCACCTATTTTGATACACTATTTAATATTGTTATTATTTATGCACTTTTATTTAGTAGTTAATTTGAGTAGCGCTACATTCCTCCCTGCAATAGTTATTCCTGAAAGACCATACACTCATATGACTCTACGATACACACATTCATTTGATCTAGGGTCCAATGGGTTAACAGCCTTTCTCAACCTTTTCAACATAATGGAACCTTTAAAATATTGTTCAGGTTTCAGGGAACCCCAGTTAAATATTACAATACCTACAACTCGTAATATATTAGTGTGATGGTCAATGGGAAGAATGCTCCTTACACTTGTGGTCATTGGGAAGAATTACCCCCCCTTACAGATAGCTAAAAAGATTAATGGTGTCAGTGGGAACTTCTCTGAGAGGCAAAAATTGCTCATTGTTCAAGAAACCACTAGCAACCTCTGGAGGAACCCTGGTTTAGAAACCCTGGGGTGGATGTTCGTTGACAATATTTTTTTTTATTGTGGGAGAAAAACAGAGTTTTTGTAAGAAACTTACCCAAAAATGGTGAAAGGATACATCCTGGGAATACTTTTGCTAATTTTGTTAATAAAATCCATATCTGATGTGATGAGATAGTGAGACAGACTGGTACATTATACCAGAGCATATGGAGATATAAAGTACACCCAGTTATAAAAATCATTAACATGCACTATGGAATTGCACATACCTTCTGTTGATCTGCATTGCTCCTTGATTTACACACAAGCTCAATGAAGGAGACAACAAGCCCCAGAGCCAAGCCAATACCCAGGATAAGGAAGATGCCGCCCAAAGTGTGAGGTTGTACTGGCACCCAACCTGTCTGGTCTTGTGTAGAGCAAGTGTTTTCCCACCACTTCTGACGCAGGTACTCCAGCCTTCCAGACTCGAAAAGCTCCAAAATGGCGATAGTCAGAGGTCTGATGAGAGGAGAGTCTGCGGAAACATGACAGGTCTATATGAATTACTGTACATCTTTTATGCAACAGAAAATTCAAGACTTACATCATGGGCACAGCAACTCTCACTAAAGAACCAATTACATCATGCTTGATTTTGTAGAATGGGCTAAAAAGCACAATCACACCTCTGTGGTGTTCTCTTGAGTTAAGCTGGGCATAGATGGGTCGATATTTGTTTGGTTTAGCAGGGACCAGTTGAATGTCGGTCCATGTGTGGCCATGATAAAAGTCCATTTTTAGATCAATATTTGCCACATGGGCTTGTTGGAAATTTTTCTTGAGTGGTCAGCTGTAGCTGCTAATTGGTGTATTCTGATAGTGGGGAGACCTGCTGTCAGAATAAGATGTCCTGGGGGGGGGGGGGGAGGGTGATTCCTCTATCCACATCAATTGCTTGGATGGAGTAAGGATTCTTCTATGGCCAGCTTTACTGGTGAGAAAAGTGATGTAGCTGGTGGAAGATAGTGATCTGTGGGAGTAAAGTTTTCACATCAAGGGCCTGAAGCAGCTGTAATACAAGCTTCAAACATTATATTGTTTACTTAATACAGTTATTTGTAAAGCACCAACAATTTGTGCAGCTTCTTACAATTTGTACATTCACATCGATCCCTGCCCCCAAAGAGCTTACCATTAAGGTCCCTATGTTACATGTATACATACACTTGCTAGGGCCAATTTAGACAGAAGCCAATTAATCTACCAACATGTCAGTTGACACCCAAGTGAAACCCAAATGAGGTAAAAGGTGAACATGCAAACTCCATGCAGCTAGTGTCCTGGTTGGGATGCAACTGAGGACCCTAGTGTGGCAAGGCAGAAGTGCTAGTCACTAAACTATAGAAATAATATTTTAGGTATATTTTGTAGCTAAAAGCTTTTTAGCTTTAAATACAGCAGGGAAGGTTTAGAACCTCCAAAAGTTTACTACTCTCTGTGGCCCAATCAGGGAAATGTCACCAAAACAGGAAATGAGAACTAATTTCTAAAAGGGGCAAAGTCAGAAATAAAACATTCTTTTTTAATAGAGTTGGGGAAAACTTGAGTCTCTGACCTTACAATGTTTTATTGCTGTCTGTGTCCCTGTTGCAGAATATTCTCATGTTGGCATCAACATCAAGAAGCAATAAAAAGCCTGAAAAAAGGTTGTAATCATTCCCTGCTATATCCAAAACTAAATAAAAGTGTTAATTGGAGTTACACTTTAAATCATTAAAGAGAGAGCTTCTATTAAAACCCAAAAGGGACCTTCAGTTTAAATCTGCTAAATACATTACACATGCATAAAAACAAAAGATGTGCAGAGTCGTAAATTATGTTTTCTTTAGAAAGCAGCAACAGCCTGAGCAGAAAAACCTGTCATCTGCCAGCAGGCAACAGACAGAGAAGGACCCTTGCACTCTGTATTGAAGTAGTGGTCTCTCTGAAGAAGTCTTACATTTTGGTGTTGACGGTTTTTTCTTGACTTTAATTCCTGATTTGAAGCACTTTTTTACAGTTAATAATTTGGGTTGATAAAGCATTAATATGGCTTTATTTTTTACCGGCCAGAAGCAGGTAAAAAGCTACTTATCAGATGACCTGCTGTAGTTCTGTTACATTAGAAATAACACAACATAGTAAATGCCAAAAAAGTACTGTAACCAAAGGGTCAGCATAACAGTCAGGATTTGCAGAAAGTCAGCAATGGAAGCCCTCATGCATCTCTCATGACAGGTCTACCTGACACAGAAATACCTAGTTCTGCTGCAATGCCATATCCTCTGCCTCCGATCACTTCTGGAGCACGAACAAGGTCGCAGTGTTTGGCCACAACAAATTCCTGGCTGATGGACTCTCCCAGGAAGGCATAGTTTGACTCTCGGACTCGTTGAACTCCTTCAGAAAAGGATTTGACAAGCACACGGTCCTTCCTCTTGTCCATGTACTCATAGATCATTTGGAATGTTGGATTCTTAGAATTCTGTATTAGGGAGAAAAACATATGCAAGAGAAATACAGTTATTGCAGTAAACAGACATGGGAGTTATTTCAACTACAGTAAAATATAGGTGTCAAAACGTTGTATTGGGGAATGCTCAAATGTTTGTATTCTTCTCTGGAAGACACCACTGAGTTGGCCCACTTAGGTACATAGACCTCAGATTTCATGGGTGACTGGCAGTGTGTGAAAGCGTCACAGTGCCTTCAAAGTTTGAGAAGTGACATTTCTTACAAGACCTTGTCCCCAGACCAACATCAATATTTTCATAAGATTATACTGTATGTGCATTTAATATATTTTATGCATGTTATAGACTTCTGTTGAGTGCTACCATCTTGAATGTGACGTCAACAGCCTCTGCAAGCTCACAGATATCACTCAAGTGACACTCTGTAATATTCCTCTTTGCCCCTCCCCTGTTACATAAGCGGTTTTGTAGGAAGCTGAAGGTAAGGGCAGAGGAGCTAGGCCTGCACAAACAGTAATTAGACTCTCCCAGAAGAGGAGAGAGCTTTGACATGCCAGGAGGGAGTACACTGTACTACTGAACTGGAGTAGTCAAATATACTAACATGTTCAAAGGCACATTAAAAGTGAATAAAAAATCATTTTGGAAAGAAATAAAACACTACAAGTGTAAGCATTTACAGAAAAAGAATGAGCAGGTTACACAGAACTGACTTCAAGAAGCAGACACACCCATTATTCTTTGGAATAACACTGAAATGTGGCTGAAACAAATTCCAGAGAACTCTAATTAAGGTATATTGAATGACTTTTTTACTTTAACATGGTTGCAATCAGGCTGCATAGAATAAATGGTTCACGGATTGCTTTTATTAACTGATTTGAATTGTTTTAAGGTTATGGGCTTAGGTCAATGGGCTTTTGTTTGCTACAAGTGACTTTTATAGCCATAAACAAGTCTATGGGAATACAATACCTGCTTGAATGGAGTTGAATGCAGGTTGGAAGGAGATCAACTGTAGGTCAAATGCACCTATCATTAATTTCTGAAGCATCTCAGTCTGATGCTATTGACACAAGCCCAAGGGTCATCTACACAGACCCTATAACAGGCAACACTCCAGACTGCCATAGTCCATAAATCCCCCTAGCTGCCTACAAATGCAGACATTGCACCCATTATCCAAAAAAAATGTGATGGTCTTGCTTACAGAAAAACATGAAAGTCAAATTTCTGAAAAAAGGAAGGGCAAGTATGAGCAACCAGGTTGTGCTATCATCTGGTTTTTAGTAAATGTTTGACAAATCTCACCCCAAATAACAACTTTGGATTTCCCAATGAAACTACTGGAAATAATGGACAACTCCTTAAAGATTTGCACTACAGCTTGTCTTTCCACATCAAAGAGGTCCCTTTTTGCTGTACATGTCAAGTTATTTAATTCTGAATACTTGGAGGCGTGTCAGGACTCACCTTAAAGAAATTTAAAGTGGAAGAGTTGATCAACGTCCCAAACTCAAGTTTATCTTGTTTCAGCAAATCCTCCACGGTCTGAATATTTGGAGTGTGGTTGGTGTTGCTGTTAATGTATGAAGCAAAGCTTCCGATGTACGCAGCCAGGAGGGTGATGGAAAACACCCACCAAATGACAGCGATGATTCGGGCAGACAAGGCTTTAGGCTGAGGTTCGGCACCTACAGAATTAAGTAGGAAAATCATCATCACAGTTTAACAATAACGTTTTTTATTGCCAATATGGACAGCAAGATACACAAAGCAGCTACAGGACCTTTTCTTCTATATATTTGGCTTTCTAGCCCACCGACCATCTAAGGTATGAATACACTTAAACAAGGTTCATGTGTAGCATGGTATGTTCACCAGAGCTTCATTGGATCTACACATTCATGCAGCTGAGATTTCCGGACACAAATGCAAGTTGGATGAATCCAGAATATGTCTAGGTAGATCTCTTTTGGACTTTACATTGAGACCATATCAATATGCACATATTGTATGCACTGCATGCCCGCAGGGAGACATAGCAACATAATTCTGGGGTCTTACTTAAAGCAATCCCTTACTGGGAACAATATGTAGACTGCTATTTCTAATGTCCCTCTAAAAATGCTAATTACTGTAATAATAGGACTGTCTTTGGCTTCCACACTGACCCAGTGCAAAGAAAAATGACAACAGATTAGACTTCCCTTGATAGCAATTGTAAACTTCGAATTATTGTTAGGTTAGTTGGCCTGCTTTTTTATGGGAAGTCTATCTTAAAGTGGAACTAAACCCTCCTATCTTTTTCAGCCAAGGAAGCTGCCATCCTATCCTCTGTTCAATCTGCAACTGCCATGAGGCTGCACATGTGATCAGTTATGACACCAGCCATTTGATAATTTGACAGTTGGGTTGAGAGCACAAGTAATTGTGAGAGTTAGCAATCCCAGGATGCCGGGAATGTAACTGTTTATTCAAACCATTAAATTGATGGGTTTAGTTCCACTCTAAAAATAAAAAACAGCTCCTATTACCTAGAGTATCTATTAATAACAGTTACAGATACCTACATTACATTTTCTGCAGGCTATTTGAACATAGGACAGTCAGATTTTATTATGGGTAAAAACTCCATTACACAGATGATTTAGTTGTCTATGCAAATGGATTTGGGAATAAACTGATGCCTATGGATCTGACCCCTGACTGCCTTGAATGAGTGTTCTCAAAGGAAAAAGTCCTTTAACAGATTGAAAAAAACCTTGCCTGATGTTTTTTATTGCCTCTAAAATATGTAGGAGACCGCCCCGCCGTTTCCTCCTCCATATGCCGCACAGGAATGCTTATGGAACTATGGACATTGCGAGATGGTTAGATTGTACATGGCCCACCATCAACTTATAACTATGTCCAGGTTTGGAAAGACAAGCTATCCTCTCCCCAAGATAAAATTGGTGATACTATACGACAGTAAACTACGTTTGGTCATAGCTTTTTCTATACATACTGTATATGCTTATTAACTCCTTTTTATGTGCTCATGCAGTATTAAAGAGTTTTGTTCACTTTCAGTAGAAGAGCCACCCATTGCTTTACCTTGCAGTGTGAATGCTCCAACTCCATACCAAAGACTGTTCAGTAGGGTGAACTGATTCTGTTCAGTGGCAGGTTCAGTCCATTCACAGGGGCTTAACCTGGAAAAAAACAAATCAAAGTCATTAGTAGATCACCCAGCCCAGATCTGCAATCTGAACATTATTGTTATGTCTTGCAGGCAGCTCAGCCTTAAACTGTTACTAAACCCACAACAGTAAAATCATTCTGTATATACAGAAAAGCAAGCATACTATACTCACTGTGGAACCGAAGAGGTTAATCCTCCGCATTGTGTAAAAAAGGATGTTTGATCTTGTTTACTCTGATCCTCCCCTTCTACTATCCCCAATCCATCTCCTTACAGAACAGAGCCTTGAAGGCAAGCTGCATATGCTCAGTTTGGTGTGTATTGCTAGAGAGTTTTTTTTTTTTCTTGAAAGAGTGCATGTGTTCAGCACAGGGCCAACCAGCACTGTCCAGACAGAGGGTCAGGGGTCCTGCAGCCTCACAAGACAATCAGAGGAGAATCTACACTGTCAGAACTGGAGACCCTGCAAGGCTCTGTGTGACAGCCCATGCTGTCAGCTACTTTAGGGCTCATTCACACTAGCTTTTCTCTCTGAAGAGTAATCCAAACGCAGATTGCAAAGCACTTGACAGGCGGTGGGGAGGTGTATCACCTCCTCACTGACTGCGTTATCCCTTTGAACCCTATACTTCCCCTTGAACGTATTCCCCTTGAATGCAACCTACTTGAACAACTCGTGGTTTGTGTAAATATGTGTTTTATATACACTGGAAATCATTCTCTGTTTTTGTATGTAAATGTGACACACAGTACAGTAGTACCACTTGTCTTCTGTATGCAGTATCTGCATTTATTCTGCATGTATGGACCCTGCACAGTAGCACTTCTCTTGTTCTGTATGCTGGGTGTCATTCTGTTTATTTTCATTTTGTACGTATGAACCTTGCACAGTACCACTTCTCTTGCTTTGCCGGGTGCAGGGCTGTCTTTAATATTGATTGGACCTTGGGCAAACATTTCCTTGCCCCCCCCCCCCCCCCCCATGCAATTTTGCTCGTCACATGCTCTGATACAAACCAGCTAGACTCAAAATCAGTTTACTGCAGCAGATCAGGCAGTGATTGCAACTGCTTGCTGGAGGTTACAGTATATCATTACTGCTCACTGACTGGTTGCTAGAGGCTACAGCACACACTACGGCTCACTGATTAGTTGGTAGAGGTTATTGCACATCATTACCGCTCTTTGATTGGTTGCTACAGGTTGCTGTACATCCTTACCGCTCACTGATTGGTTGCTATAGGTTACTATGCATCATTACCACCTACTTATTGGTTGCTAAAGTTTATAGCACATAATTATGACTCTCACTTATTGATAACATCTGCACCCCAAACTTTCCCGAATCTCTCCACTCCAACCCTCCCACCTTAACTCTACATGCCCGATCTTTTCATCTATGCACCACTTTCCTTACCTCTACATCCCCTCCTTGCTCACCTGTGCATCCCAAACTGTAATTCATTCTCTGCCTACCTTTGCACACCCCACCCGTACTACTTTGCTTACCTTTGCAGAACAGGCTGATGGTAGGCCCAGTGTCCACAGTTGCAAGCAAGACTTTCAAGCATGCCCCTGTTTACCTCCCCAGTTGGCAGCATTCAGCAGAGGTGATGGTGGATGGAAACTTAGGGGGGCATGATATACATATGAACACTGTCACTATTTACATATGAATGTCCTTGCCATTTACATGTGAATCCCACCACTAGTTACATGTCAATGTTGGATATTTACATGTACATTGCAATAGGGCAGAGCTGGGCAGTATAAGTGACAGCACTTCACACTGAGATATTGGGATACAGCGCAGGAGGAAGACTTCAAGGGACAAAGTTATGTAAACGGACAATTGGCAAATGTACGGCAACTGCTATGGGCCCCACAAAAATGACTGGGCCCAGAGCATTTTCCCCTTTTGCCCTGCATTAAAGATGGCCCTGGCCGGGTGTCATCCGCAGTGTTTGTTCCCATTTTGTATGTATTTTGCTTTGCTGGGTGTCATCTGCAGTATACACTGATGTCTGCAGGGTTCTACAGTATATGGTACCACTTCTGCTCTATCCTGGAACTGATCTTCACTCACCAAGTCCACTGCACCACATAAAATCTATTTTACTCTCTTCAAGTCCTGATATTACAGTGCATATTAAGTCACATCCAATTTGCTCCTGCAGGGAAAAGAAAATCCTTCCTGATCCCCCGAGAGGCAATCGGATATTCCCTGGATCAACTTTACCTATAAATGTTAGTATCCAGTTATATTATGTGCATCTAAGAAAGAATCCAGGCCTTTTTTAAAGCAATCCACTGAGCTGGCCAGAACCAACTCTTGAGGGAGTCTATTCCACATTTTCACAGCTCTCACTGTGAAGAAACCTTTCCGTGTTTGGAGATTACATTTCTTTTCCTCCAGACGTAAAGAGTGCCCCCTTGTCCTCTGTGATGACCTCAGGGTGAATAGCTCTACACCGAGTTCACTATATGAACCACTGATGTATTTATACATGTTGATCATATCCCCCCTTAATCTCCTCTTCTCAAGAGAGAATAAATTCAGTTCCTCTAATCTTTCCTCATAGCTGAGCTACTCCATGCCTCTTATCAGTTTGGTTGCCCTTCTCTGTATTTTCTCAAGTTCCCCAATGTTCATTTTTGTAAATTGGTGCACAAAACTGAACTGACATCACTGGCATGAAAACTCTAGAGCGGGGGTCTCCAGACTTTCTAAAGAAAGGGCCAGTTTACTGTCCTTTAGACTTTAGGGTGGGAGGGCTTTGGAAATTGGGAATAGAAAAGGTACTGATATCAGTTGGAATGGACAATGCCCCATCTTTGGTGTCAGAGGAAGGAAGAGCACCCCATTGTTGGGGTCAGTGGGAGGAATTGTGATCCATCATTGGTGTCATTGGGCCCTATTATTGGTGTCACTGGGATGAATTGTGCCCCATCGGGGGTGTCATTGGAAGGAAATTTACCCCTTCTTTGGTGTCAGTGGAGAGAATTGTGTTCCATTGTTGGTATCAGTGCATGAAATAGTGCCCCAAGGGCTGGATAAAATCAGGCAAAGGGCCACATTTGGCCAATGGGACGCAGTTTGGAGACCACTACACTAGAGCACAGAGGATAGAGGCCGCAAGGACAGGTCTTGCAGCACAGAGGAGCCTGTGGGGGCACTGCAAGGGAGGATTTTTACTTTCTCTGGAGTTCAGCCAGGTTGTCATCTCTGTCCTTGTAGCTTTATATTTTATACAGGTTCTCTTTAGCCATGCTTTGATAAGATAGCTAACTCACAGAGCAGACCATCAGCTGTGCCAACACAGACACATTCTGGCTCCTGGCATGGTAAACTTTCTTCATGTATATAAATGAGGTGTTTTCTATGCCAGTGCTGTTTTTATCTCCACTTCTAGCCCTCTACAGCTCTAATTTACATCCATTACTCATTGCCATTTAATAACGCAATGACATTACAGCTAAGGACAGAAGTATGAGCTAAATGGGAATACATCATTTGCACCTCAGAAAATCTGTAAAAATCTAAGAGAACTGCAGGCAATCAGTTATTAGTCATTTTGGTCTTAAAGCATAAGTAATAAGGCTGAGTATAAATATAGTTCCGGTATCTTAATGTTACATTTTTTATCTAAAGGGGACCTGTCACAAAGATAAACTGAGAAGCTTTGGCTGACACTGCTAGAGGGATCAGCATGTATTGACGTTACTGGAAACAAAAATATATTTTTTTTAACAAAGTACTACCTGGAACAGCCTTTCTCAACCTTTTTAACACAGAGGAACCCCTGAAATAACTTTCTGGTCTCAGGGAACCCCTGCTAAAAATGTCTATGTCTAAAACTTATGATACAATAGTGTGATGGTCAGTGGGAAAAATGCTCCTAACCAGGGGCGGACTGACAACTCATGGGGCCCCCAGACAATAGGGGATCATGGGGCCCCTGTGTCCTCCCCCACACCCAAAAAAGCCTATGAAAAAGCCAATGAAAGGTACCAGGGGCATCTCATGGGGCCCCCTACTGACCCCGGGCCCTCGGGCAGTGCCCGTGTGCTCGAATGGTCAGTCCGCCCCTGCTCCTAACACTTGTGTCATTGGGAGGAATTACCCCCTTACAGATAGCTAAAAAAGATCATTGATATCAGTAGAAATGTATCTGAGAGTCAGAAATTTCTCATTGCTCAAAGAACCCCTGGCAACCTCTGGAGGAACCCTAAGGTTCCATGGAACCCTGGTTGAGAAACCCTGACCTAGAAGTATGTTTAAAGTGAACCTGTCATCTCTTGTAAATATCCCACATAAAAGTATATAGCACCAGTGTCTGCATTTACCCTCATTAGCCCCCAAAACGTTCTCTGTGTCCCCTCCTTTAACCCCTTGTCTACCAACATACAGGGGTGTATTTACCACAGGGCAAACAAGACATTTGCCTAGGGTGGCATTTTTCAGGGGGGGCAGCACTGCCCCTCGGAAGAAGGGAGACACGCGGCATGGGGACCTGGTGGGTTCCGAGAGAGGTTGCGGGTTTCATGATGGTGTATGCACAGCCCGACTCTTGTTCTCGGGGATGTCCGCAGCTGTGAAGGTGAGTGTCTTTCTCTCTCTCGCCATGGAGGATGGTGGCTGGTGTATGGGGGGCAGAGGTAGTAGAAGGCTCTCTCGGGTTGTCAGGCTCTCTCTGCGCTGGGCACCAATTTTTCTGTTGACTAGGGCAGCACAAAATCTAAATACACCACTGCCAACATAGTTTATATGTATATAATTGCTGAAAGTGGTATTAAAGTCAATTATTTCTACATCACATAAAAAACATATTTCACATGCATTAGATTTTTTTTTTAATTCCCTCCTTGGAATTTCCTTTCTTTTTCAATTGTCCCTTGGTTGTGCCAATATAGTCCTGTTCTTGCTGTGCCCATCTTGCTGGGACATATGGAGTCCTGTGTGAGTCTCTGCAATGTGTGTGATCCTACTCTGTACTACAAATCTACAGGCAGCCATTCAGACCGCCAAATACACAGCAAACATGAAAGGGAATAAAAGCCAAAGCCAGGCCTCTCCTCCACCTCCACAGCTGTGATTGACAGCGCCTCGTACAGAAACTTACTTTAGGTCACGGCAGAAATCTAGTGAGCTCATAACTTCCTAAAGTAAGCTAACAATGTTGCACTAAAAAAATCCCAAGTGGTGTTGTTGACCCTGCCCAGTTCATCTCTGCTGGACTACAGAACCCCTCCCTCTTCATAACATAACCAATTGATTTATAGTCTATTTGTTCATTTGCTGTCCCCTAAATTCAGTGGAGCTGTGGTTTCTGTCTCCTGCCAGTAGGTGTCACTGGTATCTCAGACAAACATATGAGATACTGCAGTAAAACTGAGTTATGAATATACATATATACTACATTGCCATTGGGACCCCTGCCTTTACACGCACATGAACTTTAATGGCATCCCAGTCTTAGCCCGTAGGGTTCAATATTGACTTGGCCCACCCTTTGCAACTGTAACAGCTTCAACTCTTCTGGGAAGGCTGTCAACAAGGGTTTAGGAGGGTGTCTATGGGAATGTTTGACCATTCTTCCAGAAGTGCACTTCTGAGGTCAGGCACTGATGTCGGATGAGAAGGCCTGGCTCGCAGTCTCTGCTCGAATTCATCCCAGATGTGTTCTATTGGTTCCTCCACCCCAAACGCACTCATCCATGTCTGTATGAACCTTGCTTTGTGCACTGGTGTGCAGTCATGTTGGAACAGGAAGGGGCCATCCCCAAACTGTTCCCACAAAGTTGGAAGCATGAAATTGTCCAAAATGTCTTGTATGCTGACGCCTTAAGAGTTCCCTTCACTGGAGCTAAGGGGCCAAGCCCAACCCCTGAAAAACATCCCCACACCATAATCCCCCCTCCACCAAACTTTACACTTGGCACAATGCAGTGAGGCAAGTACTATTCTCCTGGCAACCGCCAAACACAGACATGTCCATCAGATTGCCAGACAGAGAAGCGTGATTTGTCACTCCAGAGAATATGTCTCCACTTCTCTAGAGTCCAGTGGTGACATGTTTTACACCACTGCATCCGATGCTTTGCATTGGACTTGATGACATAAGGCTTGGATGCAGCTGTTTGGCCATGAAAACCCATTCCATGAAGCTCTCTATGCACTGTTGCTGTGCTAAACTGAAGGCCACATGAAGTTTGGAGGTCTTTAGCTATTACCTCTGCAGACAGTTGGTGACTTCTGCGCACTGTGCGCTCCAGCATGCACTAACCCTGCTCTGCCATTTTACGTGGCCTACCACTTCACAGTGCCATGCTTGAATTCACTGAGCTCCTGACAGTGACCCATTCTTTCACAAATGTTTGTAGAAGCAGTCTGCATGCCTATGTGCTTGATTTTATACATGTGGCCATGGAGGTGATTGGAACACCTGAATCCAATGATTTGGAGGGGTGTCCCAACACATTTGGCAATATATTGTATTTCTTTCAGCCAACCAAAAGGAAGTTTATTAACACGGATTCATGCTGGAGGATGATGTAAATATTTGAGTAACTAGGCCTGGGGTGGAGGAGGCCTTCACGTGTGCTTGGAGCAGAGGCCTGGGAGCAGAAGGAGCCTGCCTGTTCAGTGTCCTGTTGCTTGAGGTCCTGGTGTGAGGGAGCCTTGGAAAGGAGAAGTGATGCCTTGAGATGGAGTGCCATAGCTGACTGAAACTTAGGATCCTATGGAGGGGGGACTTGCAAAGAGGCTGAGAAGGCATGGGGGCAGGGAACACAAAAGCTGCTGCTGCTAAAAGACCACCTGGTTGCTACGAGAGGCTACTGCTACTGGTCAATAATGGGTGTTCTGAACTCTCTACCCCTCTCTCCTGGAGTTTGAGTGTGAGCTAATAAACTCTTGTTTGCAAGTAAAAGCGACTGGAGCCCATCTACACACATTTTTTGTACTATTGCCTGAGGACTACACCCTGAGGTCAGCCCTCCCTTTCTCTGGGGTACTCCACCTGCCCCTGAAGAGTGCTACACTAGGCAACATACTGACTTAAGAGGACATAACATTTTGTGATGTTGTCCTGTAAATGTTTCCCCAGCCAGCTACCATAATACTTTTTATACGTGCCTTGGCATGCCATTAGTCTTTGCATATATATGTAACAAAATTTTTTTTTTATAAAGCAAGAGTTTAATTTGGCGTTTGTTTTGCCTAGCCTGTGTAACATTTTGTATTTCATTGTTGTGTGACCTGTTCTGCCCAAGTGTACCTTACTAATAATGCTAGGTATAAATAATCTGAGTGGTTACCATTTCCATCCTATGTAAGGTAACTATTTACCTTTATCCCCACTCCTGCCATACAATCTTTGCAAATTAAATTCCCAGCTAAAGTTTAGATCCTACTGTGCAAGTGCACCATGTGGCCCGTTTATTCCAAAGGCAAGTCCGTACACATTCAGGTGTTATTTAAAAAAAACCCCAAATGAACATTTTGCGTAAATCAGCTAAATACATTCCAGGTGCATCAAAACCAAAGGTGTTCAGTGTATTGATGGTCTTTTCTTTCTAGAACAGCCACAAAGCATGTCTCCTGCCAACAGATGCATAATGGGAACCTTTCTCCCTGTTTGGAACCAGTGGTCTTTCTGCTGAGGCCTAACATGCCCCCTATTGAGTCAGAAATGGAGCTCTGCAATCAGCAAAGCACGGTGCTGACTGGAGAGCTCTGGCTGTGACAGAGCAGGGCGTGTATTGGACCTCTGCAAAGAAACTACTACTTTCTCATAGAGAGTATGAGCAAGGTTCCCATTCTGCACCATGCTAACAGGGCACAGCCTTTTCTACTGAGACTGATTTTTTTTTTTAATGAAAACAAAAGTGCAAGACTTTGCGCAGCTTTTGTTTTCATACATTTGGTAAGTATTTAAATTGTTTTAAAAGTTCAGTTGGGCTATAACTTTGATAAAAGTGAAAATATCACCATCATATCACAGTTTTCATAATGTCTGAAAAAGATGGGATGACACCTTTCCTGCAAGAGGTGCTTCATAGGCTCCCTCTAAGGTTGACGATGGATTTTGTGGGGCATAGGGGCATTGGACAATTTACAACATAAGGAACCTATTTGAAAGAGGAACACATGGCAGAGGTTACATATTTTTTAGTTACACCAACCCATTCTTACCTTCCAACAAGAAACAGGCACAGGCTGGTGATAACATAGGATATAATGATTCCTATCCACAATTCCTTGCTGAATGGGCTCAGAAAACCAAACAGGTATGAGCCCTCAGCGGCTGTATCTTTCTTTAGGAGTACTCCAATCCCGGTCTGCATGAAGGGTTTGGTGAAGGATATGGCATTCTCCCTCACAGTAGTAATTGTCAAAGGTGCTATGGCCAAATCGGCTTCCTGGAAGATAAAAAAAAAAACTGGATCACGTCGTGGGGTATAACCTGGTAGCAGGATTGAAATACAGACATCCAGACATGCCCAAACATAGCTTCAGAAGTGGCCTAGGAGCAATGGAAGCTGTAATACTCCATTATGCACATAAAACCTTTAACTAGGAAGGTGCCCCTTGGCCCCCCACCTCCCACTACCTATCTCAATGACAGACCAGTAAAGTGCTTTGGGAGGCCTTTTAGTGTTTAAAACACAACAGCCAAATGTTACGGGTAGGTTAGCTTTAGTAGAGCTCAACTGAGTTCTTTTTGGAAACTCTCTGTTTTTGTTGAGTTAAACCCAAAACCAAAAATTTATTATATTGCAGCTTACCAATCATTAGATGTGGTGTTGCATCAGTTCTTTTTTCTTTGACGTTTCCCCCTGGTGATCTGACCAGTAACACACACCTCCTGTATTAGTGAGATACAACTCTGGAGGAACGAGTACAGGAGGCACAACAGACAGCAGCATTAATAATCTGGGGAGGGGGGAGGGGAGTGTTAAATGTGTTAGCAGATTTGAATACAATAACAAATTGAAGCCAAATTTCAGCTAACACATTATAAACAGTTACAGCAAATATTTGTGTTCCTTTTAGGATAAAGTTCTTACATGAATAAATAAAAGCTGATCATTTTTAATCACCCCTGCCAGTGGTAATGGGATGGTCTCATCCACGTAAGCTGATACATGCTGCTGAAGAACTTGAACTTTGGTGAAAAACAGCAGAGACACTGGCTGAATCACCAGATGAAAATACAAGAAAGAAAGCCTAAGTAACAAAACTAATACAGCCATCACAGCTAAGAATTGGTAAGCTGCAATACAATAAATGTTTGCTTTTGGGTTTAATACCACTTTAAAAAACAAAACAAAGACTAAGACTAGACACCAGCAAGTGGGAGTAGATTGTTACAGAGGAACCCTGTAAAACATTGCACATTGGACTCCCAAATGTTGCACAGATGCAAATTGCACAACTATATGCTTGCTAGATACTATAGCCACACTTTGGAAAGTTTCAGGAAGGTGACTGAATCTGTTCTGCATGCAACCAACTGGTCTTGTTGCCACCCCTTCATGCTGACGTCATCAAGCCCAAAGTGTAATCAGTGCAGGACCATTTGAATGAATTCTGGCCAAGCAAATGGCAATGTCCACATCATAATATTCTGTTAGAACCTCCCTCCCCACAGTACAGTTCTGAAGATCAGAGGAGTTGGACCCTGGACTGGGGATAACAGCAAGTAAAAATGGGTCATAGAAACATACTGTAGTTCAGCTATAAAGATCAGAAAAGGGGTTACGTGAATGAGTTTAAGGGTCAGTCAACTCAAAACTGACATTTCCTTTCGTAGATGCTGGAGATTCAAACCACCTGAGAGTTTCTTATATCTCATAGGCACTCCATGCCACTTGAGTTTCAGGATGTGCATGCTCGGTCCTCTCTCCTATTGTATTTTTTACTCCTTTTATGTAAAACAGAAAACAACATGAAGTTCTAGAACACATGAAGGTGGGCCACAACACCCCAAATCCCCAAGGTGGATAGAAAAAGAGTTGGGAATTATGGAGGGAGGTCTAATTGTTTGTTTATCCAAGGCATATAAGAGGCTAAAGGCTGACTCAGCCCATCAGGCTCCACCTATAACTAAAATTTTACTTTTGGATGGTATAGCCCTTAAAGTAGCTCCATTTTTAAAAATAAGAAACATGTAATACCTACCTGCTCTGTGGAATGGTTATGCACAGAGCAGCCTTGAGCCTCCTCTTCTTGGGTCCCTCGCCAGCACTTCTGGCTCCTCCCCCCCGCCGAGTGCCCTCAGTGCAAGCAGCCCTCTCTGAGGGCACTGGTACCGGCTCACTACCAAGTCACCTCCATAAGGCTCAGCCCCATCCCCCTCTCCCCCTCCTCACTGCTGTGATTGAGAATGTCTCAGCCAATGAGGAGGGAGAACCTCTGCTCTCATGCACATTGCTGGATCGAGATCAGGCTAAGGTGAGAATAAGGGGGGCTTAGGGTGGATGCTGCACAGAATGCATACAGATAAACCCCTTCTGCCTTTACAACCACTTTAATAACACCCCAAACCTTTCCTGTTTTTACAGGGTATATTTTCTTATAATTTGCAAGATGGCAACATTTATAAATATGTGTTATGAGATGTACGCTTATCTTAAGCCCTTTAAATTTCTCACCTTGCATAAATCAATCACATAAACTAAGATAAGGTGATTTGTTGATGACGGCATAAAAAAAAAAAAACTTTTATATAGTCTCCCATTGCTCCAGGAGACTGTTTTTCCCAAGGGGTGGCTTATGATGAAGTTTGATTCTCAGTGACATAATTACTAGGCATAGCTGTCTGATCACATTATAGAAATGTCAAGAAGCATCTGGGTCTGTAGCTTCAAATACTCCTAGGAAGCTGTGAAATACATCGGTCACTGTGACAATTGCCTGTGTATAAGGTCCCACTGGCTACAGAGCCTCACTGACTTGCCAGTTCACCTTTTTAACCCCCATTAGTGAATCGGAAATGTCGAAGTTTCCAAACAAACAATGTGCTGCATTGAAAGTAGGACCAAGAAATACATTGCTAGCAATGTATACAGAAGTTTTATAGAATTAAAAGGAACCCTCCAACTTGGATAAAAGATTATTTTTCTAATTTTTTTAATTGTATTTACCTATGATGCCACCTACTGTTGGAAGAAAAAGTATGTGAACCCCTTGGGATTATGTGGAGTTTTGCATGAATTGGGAATAAAATGTGCTCTGAACGTCATCTAAGTCACAACAATAGAAGAACACAGTCTGCTGAACATAATACTACACAAACATTAGATGTTGCCATGGTTAAATTGAACATAACATGTAAACATTCACAGTGTAGGGAGGAAAAAGTATGTGAACCTTTGGACTTAATAACTGGTTGACCCTCCTTTGGCAGCAATAACCTCAACCAAACGTTTCCTGTAGTTGCAGATCAGACCTGCACAATGATCTGGAGTAATTTTGGACCACTCCTCTTCACAAAACTGTTTCAGTGTAGCAATATTCTTGGGAGGTCTGGTGTGAATCGCTCTCTTAAGGTCATGCCACAGCATTTCAATTGGGTTGAAGCAGGACTCTGACTTGGCCACACCAGAAGGCGTATTCTGTGCTGTTGCAGCCATTGTTTTGTTGAATTACTTGTATGCTTTGGGTCATTGTCCTGTTGCATCACCCATCCTCTGCGGAGCTTTAGTTGGCGGACAGATGGTCGTACGTTTTCCTGCAAAATGTCTTGATAAACTCTGCAATTCATTTTCCCATCAATGACAACAATCCGTCCAGGCCCTGAGGCAGCAAAGCAGCCCCAAACCATGATGCTCCCTCCGCCATGTTTTACAGTGGGGATGAGGTTTTGATGTTGGTGTGCTGTGCCTTTTTTTCTCCACACATAGTGTTGCGTGTTCTTCCCAAACAACTCAGTCTTGGTTTCATCTGTCCACAGTATATTTTGCCAGTAGTGCTGTGGAACATCCAGATACTCTTTTGCAAACTTCTAACGTGCTGCAATATTCTTTTTGGACAGCAATGGCTTCCTCCGTGGTGTCCTCCCATGTACTCCATTCTTGTTTAATGTTTTCCTTATTGTAGATGTGTCAACAAAAATGTTAGCATGTGCCAGAGATTTCTGTAGGTCTTTAGCTGACACTCTGGGATTCTTCTTTACCTCATGCAGCATTCTGCGCTGTGCTCTTGCAGTCATTTTTACAGGATGACCACGCCTAGGGAGAGTAGCAACAGTGCTAAACTTTCTCCATTTGTAGACAGTCTGTCTTACCGTGGACACATGAACGTCAAGGCTTTTGGAGATACTTTTGTAACCTTTTCCAGCTTCATGCAAGTCAACAATTCTTGATCGTAGGTCTTCTGAGAGCTCTTTTCTGCGAGGCATGGTTCACATCAGACAGTGCTTATTGAAACCAGTAAACCCAAAACAGGTGTGTGTTTTTTAAGGGCAGGACAGCTGTCAGCAACACATCCAATATCATCACACTGATTGGAGTCAAGGTTGGCTCACTCCTGGCTCCAATTAGCTCTGGGAGAGGTCATTAATCTAGGGCCTCACATACTTTTTCCTCCCTGCACTGTAAATGTTTACATGTTATGTGCAATTAAACCATGGCAACATCTAATGTTTGTGTAGTATTATGTTCAGCAGACTGTGTTCTTCTATTGTTGTGACTTAGATGACGTTCAGAGCACATTTTATGCCCAATTCATGCAAAACTCCACGTAATCCCAAGGGGTTCACATACTTTTTCTTGCAACTGTATAAGTAAAACGTGGTTTCACAGCTACAGTATATCATTTGCTTGAGAGGGCCATTGTGTCAGAAGCTGCTGAAGCAGCAGCAGCATAAATGTGTTGCTTTTACTTACAAAGGACAGTATTCAAAGTAAGTGATGCATATGTGCTAGAATAGAGTTTATCCAAACGTCCTAAACAAAGTGCCAGTTTATTGTCCTTCAGACTTAAATGGGGAGGAGGAGAGCAGTCTGTGGCCATTGAGTAGAAAATGCCACACCATCAATGAGAGTAAACAATGCTTAGGTTTTGTGGTCAGTGGGAGTAAAACAAATTATATAGTGCCTGTGGTCAGTAGGAGGAATATTGCCCCATCATTGGTATTAGTGAGAGGAAAAGTGTCCTATCGTTGGTGTCAGTGGAAGGAATGGTGCCCCATCTTTGGTGTCAGTGGGAGGAATTATACCCCACTGTTGGTGTTAGTTGGAGGAGTAGTGTCCCCATCAGTGGTGTCAATAGGAAGAATATTTCCCCCTCGATGGTATCAGTGCGAGGAGTAGTGCCCCATCGTTGGTGTCAGTGAGAGAAATAGTGCCCCATTATTGGTGCCAGTGGGAGAATAGTGCATTATCCATATTGTCAGTGGGAGGTATAATACTTTGTATCAGTGGAAAGAATAGTGTCCCAACATTCTGATAATGGCAAACAAAGGCCCACAGTTTGGATACCACTATGGTAGACCATAGTAGGATTGGAAACAAATAAAAGTGCTTTTTTTTTTAAATTTGATCAGTAAGACATCCATTTTAGCAAGAGTGCTTTGCAATTCATTCTTCTAGGTTAATAACAAATCTACAGATTTGAGCATCTCTGCCACATCAAATTCAATAAAGATTTTTTAAAAATAAGGATTAAAGAGGTGTGAGGCTTCAATTTTGTTATTGTTTTCCAGCATCGACTCACCTTTCGGATGATTTCTCCCACCATTCCATTCCAGTTTCCTTCCTGGTCTTTGGCTCCATATTTTCCATCCTTCACTATATGTAAAGTGTAATTAAATCCCAGGGACTGAGCAAGTTCAGAGAGAAAATCAATGGCATATCCTTCCAAAGCATCTGATTCTGTCTTCATAGCAAAAGGCTTTCCTGTATTCCCAAAAAATTCCAATGCATTAATGTTTAAGATTTTCAGTCTCAGCCAAAAAGCATAAAAAGAAAAAAAAAAAATCAGTAAAAAAAAAAAGGCATTATTAAATATAAACAGATAAACATCTGACTAAAAAAGACATAATTCTAAACACATAATAAACACAGAAAACCTATACAGTCATTATAAAATAAAATACTGTACATACATATTTGTTTCATATCCACACTGAAAGAGTATCAATGATTAAGGAAATTAAAATTTATTTTACCAAAATTGTGGTGACAGTCAGAGTTTTTGGAATTTGACGTTTTGTTCTTTCCTGTAATGTAAACAAAATGACAATCACAAAAACTGACATGTTGGCATGCTTTCACTAAAAAAAAATGGGGAAGATGTCTGGCCATGTACACTAGTAGTGTCCTACAGCAATCCAAAGTGTCCTCCAGCCAGCTGGGCTGGTATATAAGGAGAAATCTTCCCAAATTTAACATAAGAGTAAAGACACAATAGGAGTTCTAACCCTTGCCTCTACTACCCAAACAAATACAATTTGTCTGAGGTTGCACTTTAAAAAGTAATTAATTTTTAAACTTACCTTCAACAAAGCTCTGCTATTTTCTTCTCCATCTTTAAAACAAAATAAATATGTATATTTGTTATTTAAAATTGAGACTTTTTTAGTTATTCTAGGCAGAAACAATTAAAGTATTTTAAAGAGGCATTAAAAGAAAGCTTAATTTAAGCTCTACCCCTCTGAAGAAGCATATCCACACCTTTAATTACTTTTGTGTCACTCCATTCAGCTGCCAGGACTGGAGGGAGAAGGCCTTGTAGAAGCACCAGACTGGCTTGTTGGAGCTTACAGAGGGCTATGGATTCCTTGCTGGCTATCATGTGACAGAGCTGATCCAGTCAGTACTGTCACATGGTGGTGGCAATGGTGGTGGTGGTGTGTGTGTGTGTGTGTGTGGGGGGGGGGGTGATACATGCTTGCTCATATCAAGAATTGCTAGGTATTTCACGTGGCTTCTGGTAGCTGAACGGAGCAGTGGGAGACCAAAGCAAAGTTGCAGCTGGGGTTGTGCTAAGTGACCCTTTTCTTTTTTCCTGCATGGGGTGAGAATAGAACCACTCTAAGTCAGTCCACAGGCTTAACTGCTTTCTTTCACTCATAGGGGACTCTTCCTTAGTCTTCCAGTTATGGGGTTCAGAGACCCAAAAGACATAACTCAGGACTCACTTTTCACAGCTCCAATGCTGTCAATGGGAAATGTGCTTCAAGAGGCCTCTCTAATCCTGGTAGCTCCAGGGTTCTGTCCCTACTGCAATATAAAGGTCATCAGGAAGCCATAGTCCCTGGGCTTTTGGTTTAGATCAGGAAAAGGGAAACCTTAATACACCACACTGCAGGAACGCGGACTGTTAGCAGACTAACCACCTTGTATTTAGATAAAGTCCAATTACTTATCTATACTTCCAGGCTTACATTTAACCATTATTTTCAACAACCTCTAATGTCCACAGTATAGGGGTTGTACAGTCTCTTTCTTCGCACTGAGTTCTTGAGCTGCTCACATGGTCCTTTAGATACAGAGCTCTCCCGACAAACTAAGGTCCTACTCTCCTGGGATCTATCTGAAAACACAACCCACACTAAATCCCCCAGGGCTACCATTTTACCCTCCCAACTAAGGGGGCTTGAGTGGCATTGCAGCTAACAGTAACTGCAGGGTGGGACTTAGACTGAAAGAGCTCTACAGACAGAAGGAATAAATATACACCCAAAAAATTAATAAAACAATAAATAAAACTTACATGACATATAAAAATCTACTTGAGAGCCTGTGATCACAGAAATCGTACTGTGAGACATATTGAAGTACTATTACTGAACTCTCCTGAAAACGCTATTTCCATCGATCACTTTCAAGTACAATCTACTACTGCTTGTCTTTACAAACCTAGCCTAGTTAGTTTAGCTTAACCCAATACTTTGGCATCTGCAAATATTTTTAATAAAAAAAAACATTAAAAGAATGCCAAATGTGTAATTCTTTACTAGCAATAAGGCCACACCATAAAAAAGGCTGCATTATTTTCATTATGTAATTTTGTAATTATTATTATGCATTATGTAACACCATAATAAAAAATTCTTCCCAACTTCATTTCTATTAACCTCATTTTCTTTCAGAGTTCTCTTTCATGAAATCTTTGGCTTGGCTTGGAAGCAGTGTAAAACAAGACTCTTTTCTGAGTCTCAGCTGGAGATGACCATTCAGAGAATGCATCGTCTTGTTACCTTTTTCAAAGTACTTTATTACATAAAAGGCCTTTTCCAGACAAACTGAATTCCAGCTGGATCTTCTTTCAAGAAAACTAGTATCTCTATTGAAATTGTCAGATGTCCCATGGCCTCTCAGGATGAAGATGGCAAAACCTTTATCTGGTTTTTATTGCCGCTGTCACCCTTTATAGTAGCATAAATTATTAGGAGGTGTTATAAAATATTACACTGCTGTGGCATAGTTCAACTCCGCAAGCTTTCGCTACACACCATAGTGCTTTCTTAAAAATTGCAATAATGATGTCACTTTCAGATTATTGAAGAAAGAGCAGTGAAAGATCATTTCATCATTTCTTTCCAGTCTCACCGCCCATGACTCCAATCTTTGCTCTCTTGCAGAGCTACAGGCACCACTACAGTCTTCAGCATCCAACATTTCTGGATAGGTTGGATACCTGGATCCCTAGCTATGTGCTGCAATTCTACCTATAGGCTTTCTACATCACTAGTGTGTCCTAGAAGAGCTCCAGGACAGTGCTAGTTACATAGCCTCCCTAGCGGTCTGCTATGTCAGTATTTCTATGCTCAAAGCGGTACATTTTTTTGCATGGAAATATGTTGTTTTTTTATTGAAGCCTGTAATTTTTAGGAATAACTCACTGAAATCTGTCTGAACAAGAGTCTAGTAAATATCCCGAGTATGTTAAAATTTGAAACACAAAATCATAAATTATAATGTAATAAATAATCATAAAAAATAATAATATACTAATAATAAAAAATTTATTAAATAATATAATCAAACCAAAAACACAAAAATTTGAAATTTAGCGCAAGTTTGCATATCACTGAGCAAAGACGCAAAATCATTTTCAGTGTCTGATGACACATTTCCCCACAAATTATTATCACTCAATTCTGCAAGTGGTTCTAATTTACTATCGCTGTTTTCTAGCTGGTCGAAAACCACTTTTGACCTAAAGGGACGCTTTTTGGACGCCATGGACGTTTCTCAGTTTCCAAGCAGAAAGAACGGTAAAAATGCAGGCAGGGCACAGGACAAAGCACTCGGGACACAATGTATGTGAAATGGTTTGATACAGTAATGTTTTACTATGTGATTTTAGTGTATTTAGTGAATGTCACTTTTTCACATTTTTAAATTTCCCGCTGTTCCATCCCCGTACGTCCTGACGTCGCAGGGAATGGAACCCAGAGACAGATGCCGGCATCAGCCAGAGGACATTGCCGGGGACACTGCAGGGGGGACATAGCGGGAGCAAAGGACAAGGTAAGTGAAGAGGAGAGATCCTGAAGCAGCGCTGCAATGTATTCCCGAGTGTAGCTCGGGGTTACCGCTTGTGGTGCTGAAACTTTACCCCGAGCTACACTCGGGAATACCTCCAGGGAGGTTAAAGAATATGTTACCCCGACATTTCATATTCCTGATATGTGCCTGTTGTATCATGTACTTGCATTAAAAAAGTATCCTTTTCTCTTGGTATTGCTTACTTTCTGTGAAATTCTTGGTGCTCCTGCCAGTCCCCCTGCTTTCCTATTTCAAACTGACCACTGTAAACTTGAGAGCACATCCCAGCGTGGTCAGTTTTCTGACTGTGCTGGGAGCAGTCTGCCTCTCCTCCAATGACAAAGACTTGTGCTGACACACCCCCTGCGCAGTCATTCACTGAGAAGATCAGAGTACTGCTGCTTCTCCACCCCCACTTCCTTAAGCCCCTTATGCAGCTGAGAACAGAGAATATGTGATTATTAAAAAGAAAAAAAAAAAGGTATTTATAATTTTTTATATGTGCATACTCAGATGGTTTGTCTTTCATTTTTATTTTAAACTGAATGCGTTGTTTTACAAAGGTAAGGGTTAACTTATACTTTAAGAGCCAGATGGAGTGTGATGCGGGCATCTGAAATACCTAAATATCTTAGTGGTAGTTGTAACTGGAAGACTAGAGTCATGGGCAAGAGTCTGGTACATTTTAGTACCTCAGTTTTCTATTTTTTTTTGGGTGACAGAGTTGCTTAAAATAATCTTTTTATTTGTAATTATATGTACTTGGGTAAGTCCAGTTTACATAGTACACGCACATGCACTGATTGCTGCTTTGCAGTGTTACACAATGGTTATGCTTTACTGCCCCTTCACACAATGCAAGTCTGTTGGTCAGATGACTCATTGGAAACAATAGTGGTTAATCTACATATCACTATATTTAACACTAGTGACAAAAAGTCTAAGGAGCTAGCTTGAAAAAAATATAGCTACGTAAAATCAGCAAGAGTCAGTAAGGTAACTTCAGATTAATGCTGGAGGGCTCTGCAGGTCATTTCTCTGATACTGAACCTCCCCCTACTCTAGAGACTTGGAGAAGTTGCTAGAAGCAGTGGGAGGGGGTGAGGTGGGGTTGAACTGCACACTTAGGGGAGTCTGGCCAATCCCCAGGAAGGAGGCCTGGCATGGTTGGTAGGTCATCCCTTAAATATGACAGAGCCTGGCAAGCGGGGAGTCAAGTGGAAGATGGCGTGAGGAAGTACCGCTGGTGTAGAGCCTGGGAGGAGGCCCCAGAGGAGGGTGATCTACCTACAGGCTGGGAGCTGGAAAGAGGGACCTCCATTGTTCCACAGTCTACAAGAAAGGACAGCCTGTCAACAGGGGAAGAAGCCAGCCCACTGTAAGGCCTGAAAGCAGCTTTACTTTTACAACTACAGGAACAGGACAGTGCGAGTACTTCTACATCCCCTGGACCTACAAGGGAGACAACGGTCAGGTGTAATACCCAACTAGTTCTCCCTGGGACATCATTCCTATGCGTGTCTTGGAATCCCTTACCCTAGGATACTCTCATGACAGCCAGGTGGATGAGGAGATTTTCATATGGGGTATGAAGAAGTTCATTTAGGGGACCAATGGCTCTTAGTAAAGACTGTGCAGATTTCTTCAAAAGACAAGAGCTGCTCCTGAAGGAGTAGAGAGTCCAGGATCTAATCTTTTGTGCTTTTTGCTGAGTTTTTACCTTTTTTTACCTAAGAAGTTGTCCTCCAAGTTGTTTTAGTTCCATTGGTCATCCCATATACCCCTAGACACCATCCAAGTTGTTAACCCCTAATAAAACAAGAAAAACTCAGCTCATGGACTGTTTACTGACTTTGGATGCATGAGTGGAAAAAGCATGTTGCCTGGCTGTGCATGGAAAAAAAAGGGACCCAAAAATCAGCAGCCCTCAAGAGGGTAGAGATACAAATATTATAAGGTAAAACCCAGCTATAACAACTCAAAATACTGCACATGCTTCTTAAAAATACACAATATTATCTCTTTTGTAAAAGGAATCCTTGGTCTTGTTAGTGAATTTGTAAAAAGATCATCCATTATGCATCTACTAACTAGACATACATTAATGACTAACTTGCCAGTTCTTTTATTGATGCATAAAACAGTAAGAAAAGGTAAAACTAGGTTATGACATCATATTACCCTGAAAGAAGGACTCAAGTACACAGATGTTTGCAAAAGTCCTCTAGAGTAAACTCCCTGCGTTTTCCCAATCCTGGGGAGCTGCAGATGTCATGTACAGCCAACCATAGAAGTACAGGGCTGTATACATGTGTACTCATGGAACCGCTGAGACTCTTTTACATTGATGTTTACCTGCACATTGTGGCTAGGACATATTTCCTGAACATGGAAGTTTCATGTTCAGGGAGTACGTCATAAGCACCTCTGCAGGTAAACACAGAAGAAAGAGAGCATCAGCATATATACAAGTGCAAGCGCATACAGTCATACACTTCTATGGCTGGCCACGTGCAGCTCCCTAGGCACAGAAAGAGAGTTTAGTCCTTTTCCTTTTGAACCTCTCAACCTCCATGTGCATGTACCCTTAATATTAAACATCGTCTGTAAAGGTCTTCATTTATCTAGGTCAAGGGATAGCTATTATTAGTTAGTCACAACTGAACTTGTTACATAGTTAGTGTGGCTGAAAAAAAGACAAAAGTCCATCTAGTTCAACCATAAAAATAAATAAATAAATGTTATAATCCTATACCCACACAGTTGATCCAGAGGAAGGCAAAAAAACCCAGCAAAGCATGATACAATTTGCTCCTGCAGGGGAAAAAAATCCTTCCGGATTCCCTGAGAGGCAATCAGATTTTCCCTGGATCAACTTTACCTATGTTAGTATCCAGTTATATTATGTGTATCTAGGAAAGGATTCAGGTCTTTTTTAAAGCAATCTACTGAGCTGGCCAGAACCAACTCTTGAGGGAGTCTATTCCACATTTTCACAGTTCTTACTATAAAGAGACCTTTCCATATATGGGGATTAAATTTCTATTCCATGCAGATGTAAAGAGTGCCCCCTTGTCTTCTCTGGTGACCTCAGGGTGAATAACTACATGGAGATCATTATATGGACCACTTATGTATTTATACATGTTGATAATATCCCACTTAATCGCCTCTTCTCAATTGAATAAATTAAATTCCTCTAACCTTTCCTCATAGCTGAGCTCCTCCATGCCTCTTGTCAGTTTGGTTGTCCTTCTCTGTACTTTCTCCAGTTCCCCAATATTCTTTTTGTGAATTGGTACCAAAAACTGAACTACATATTCCAGATGAGGTCTTACTAAGGATTTGTATCGGGGTAAAATGATGCCTCTCTCTCTGGAGTCCATACCTCTTTTGTAAGTTGTTTCGTAACTCTGAAGATGTTTTACCCCTTCTTGGATCAAATTTTGCAACTTTTGGATGAGTGGTGAAACTTAATTACAAACCAAATAAATTTCAAAACAAGTCCAGCTGAATGTGACTAACTGCTACTATCTATATCAGCCATAAACAACATTTTTAATAATTATTATTGACTCCCCTGTTGTTACAGAATAGAGAAGAATAACTAAAAGGCAATTGTGGTTATGAACATCTTGTTTTCTAAAACTGTAATGCTGAACTGCATAATAGGTCACACTCAGTTACTAAGACCAGTTAATACTGCCTAGCAACTGCTGGAGGTGGATATCAGTGTTCGCAAAAAATGAAATGCATGTATTTATTTTTCCAATTTAAAATGCAACATGTAAATGCAACTTTATATGTATTTGATATACAATGTGAACTGGTGTGCAGGATGCCAGGAATGGGTCCTGGACAGCAGGTACAGAGCATTCATAAAGTATTCAGACCCCCTACACTTTTTGCAATTTTGTTATGTTGCAGCCTGATACTACAGTTGTTTGAATTCATTTTTTTCCTCATTAATCTACACTCAATACCCCATAATGACAAAGTAAAAACAGAATTTTAGAAATGTTTACAAATGTATGAAAAGGGATTCTCAATAATTCTGAAATGGAAGACGTTTGGCAGAATCCAAGAGTTAGTTACCCGGCTAAACTGAGCAATCGAGATAGAAGGGCCTTAGTAATGAGAGGTGATCAAGTACCCGATGGTCACTCTGAATGAGCTCCAGGAATCCTGTGTGGACATGAGACAAAGTTCCAGAAAGACAACCATCACTGCAGCCTTTCACCAAACTTAGCTTTATGGTAGAGTAGCTAGATGGAAAATTCTCTGCAGTGCAAAGCACATGACAGCCGGCTTGGAGTCTGCAAAAAAGCACCTGAAGGACTCTCAGACTGTGAGGAACAAGATTCTCTGGTCTGATGAAACCAAGATTGAACTGTTTGGCCTCAATTCTAAATGTTATGTCCAGAGGAAACCAGGCACTACTCATCACCAGCCCAATACCATCCCAACAGTGAATCATGGCGGTGGCAGCATCATGTTGTGGGAATGTTTTTCGGCAATGAACTGATCAGGGTTGAGGGAAAGCTGAATGGAGCAAAGTACAGAGATATCCTCAATGAAAAACCTGTTCCACAGCACTCAGGACCTCAGACTGGGCCAAAAATTCACCTTTCAACATGACAATGATCCTAAGCACAAGACTAAACAACACAGGAATGGCTTGGGGACAACTCTGTGAATGTCCTACAGTGGCCCAGCCACAGCCTTGACTTGAACCCTATTGAACATTTCTAGAGAAACCTAAAAATGGCTGTCCACCAACGGTCTCCATCCAACCTGACCAAACTTGAGAGGATTTGCAAAGAAGAATGGCACAAAATCACCCATGACACAATAAGGTGTACACTGCAAGGAATGGCATGCATGGGTGTCGTCCATGAAGGAAGCCCATGCACAAAAAAGCCCACCTAGAATTGGCCAGGGCCCATGCTGAAAAAGAAGAAGACTACTGGGAGTCTGTACTCTGGAGTGATGAGACCAAGATAAATGGTATTGGAACTGATGGCTTAAGAACTGTATCACATCGCAAAGGTCAGGAGTAAAAGAAAAATGCATGGTGCCTACAGTGAAACCTGGTGGTGACAGTGT